CCGATGGGAACGTAAGAATACTGCCCGACATACAGTATTCTGAGCTCAATCTCATCCGAAACATCCCTAAAGAATCTCGCGAGAAGTTTTCCCGCGGAAGAAATATAATTGTGTAACGTGCACCGAAAACACAAACCCTAATCAATCAAACTCTGATAATAATAATAATAATATTATATTTCTGCATGACCAAGTACACGCCATTTTTACAGGCACGATCTACAAATTGCAACATTTGTTGGCCCACAGCATGCTTCCCAACTTATCAAGTTTATAGTTGTAATAAAGTATACACGTAGAGCGCTTGCTGTAAGCTATAACTTTGAGGAGGCGCGTACGTCAAGTTTGTTCCAGACGTCAGAAGTTCCATAGCTGTGCCCTCTGAGCAAGATTCTGAAGAAAGAAAAAAAGAAGCAGAAGAGCAGCAAGGCACTGGGATATGAACGCCAAACGTTGCTTAACATTTTGTAGTGGAACAGACAGAGGTTTATTAAATTAAATTCATATTATCTCTTGTTAGAGTGAAATAAAGTCAGAGGCTCCATATAAGAGAATATGGCAATAAAGAACAATGAGTTGTGATGTTCAACAAGTTGGAGTAAGCTCACGTAAAGGAAGTCAAATTTGGTTCAAGGAAAGCTGTTTATTAGAAGGGAGTGTGCTTATTGAGGGTGAAGTGTTAAGAATACTAATAACAATATCTTTAATTGTCTTATTTTTTTATTTTTTTCTGTCCATCCGATGCCAGCCACACAATCCTTGTGTAAAACCCAGAGTAAGCATGTTATAGGTTGTCTTAGTAGAATAGTTAATCCAACAAAAATTTGAAAACGTGAGTTTTAGTGGTGAGCGTAGGAAGACAATCTGTATCACAGATTAATTGACTTATTCTCAATCATAAAGAGCCTGGTACATACAAAATGTTTCGCCCAACGAACACGGGTGGGTTGAAGTCATCATCAGACAGTTCTTGAGGCTTAAAAACATACTGGCTCATCATGTGACGAGACTAGCCAAGAAGAACGGTGATTTTAGACCTCGGCTAATGAGGATAACTTTTCAATCCTCCCATACAGCGTCTGCAGCTCTGGAAGCATTTCGTGTCAACAGACGTCGGTTGCCAACTGGGATCCATATGCACCCGGACAGGCCATACGACGCCAGGATCAAGCACAAAGGCAAGTTATAGATGACCATTCCACTTGTGGACTGTCTTCAAGATGAAAAAACGTGTAAAGGACAGAGCCTATTAATTCGGCAAACCTTATATAGTTAGGCTACCTGTCCACTCACGTAAGGCCCATACAGATAAACAGGAAGAAGCTCACGCGTTTCAAATTTAAAGCATTAACTGCTTATACATGAACGCCGCGAGTCTATCAAACAAAATTGATGAGCTATGTGAACTTAGTAATGCTAAAAATGTTCATCTAATAGGAATATCTGAAACTTGGATATCTTCTGAGTTTTCGGACCAGGAGCTAGCAATACCTTGGATGTCTCTGTTTCGCAACGACAGAAAGTTAGGAATTGAGGGTGGAGTAGACATATACAAACGATTTGGCTTGGAGATACACCAAGTTCACAATCATAAGTTTATTAACCTGGAGGAATGCATATGGTGTTCTATGAGATCGACCACTACTTCGAGGTGCCTAGTCGGAGTCATATATAGGAAGCCCACCGCCAACACCGAGTATCACAGTCGTATGCTGGAGGACTATTCCGCTCTACGCGTCTCGGCTTCACTCATATCCTGATTCTAGGAGACTTCAGTCTCCCTGGAGTCAACTTCGCGGAACATACGTATACTGGAGGTGAAAATTCAATTGAAGCTCGGTTCTTCAAACTCATTGAGGATTTGGGACTACACGAAAATGTGAAGTTGGCTACTCGTTGGAGGAACAGTCGGACACCGTCGAGCTTAGACTGTGTTTTTACAAACGAAGAATTTTTAGTTGACAACCTCTCAATTCTGGCTCCTCTGGGGAAAAGCGATCACGCCGTTATAACCTTCAGTTTTGTCAGCAAAATCGAGCTAAGATATCCCAACAACAACAGGCGCTGAAATTTCGAACGGTTGAATATGTCTGCTCTACAGGACTATCTGCCACAGGTGGATTGAGATGTTCACACCAATTAAATGTGCATGCTCATTTGGACTTACTGCACACGCTTATATGTGCTACAAAGCAGTCAGTTCCTCAAACGGTCCCCAAAAGCCACACGCAACCTGCAATCATCAAGAACCACACTCTTCGTTTATTAAGCCGCTAGAGGCACTGTTGGGCAGAATACACACGAACTGACAACAACGGCACATACAGGCGATACAAACATATAAGGAACATATGCACGAAGTCCATAAGGGAAGACAGGCTTCAGTACCAGATAAAGCATATAGATAAATTTGTCTCCAATCCGAACAGCTTACTTCTTTACTCAGCCTCTCTTCGTCAAGCCAAAACTGGAGCTTCCCAACTGCTAGGTCCTAACGGCCCGGCCGATAACGACGGCGACGCTAGGTCGAGTCAAACTACCTGAAAATTGGAAGCTGGCTCATGTCACACCAATTTTCAAAGGAGGTCGACACAGCGAACCTTCAAGTTACCTACCGGTGGCTCTTCTCTCTATTCCTTCAAAAATCATGGAGTTCCTGATATGCAAAGGTATACATGACTGTTTACTGTCCTTAAGTTTATTTTCACCCCAACAGCATGGTTTCAGGAAGGGTTACTCTTGTATAACCAACCTGCTGACTGCGGTGGACAGATGGACAAACATCCTCGAGCGCAAGGGGAAGGTTGTTGTCATTTACCTTGATTTCTCAAAAGCTTTCGATAGGGTTAACCATATGTGTCTTATCAATAAGCTCAAACGATTGGGTACCAAATCACCTTTACTTGATTGGTTCACTTCATATCTAAAAAATCGACATTTCAAATTTATGGATAACTTCACTTTCTCTCAGGCTATGGAATGTCCTAGTGGAGTCCCCCAGGGTTCAGTACTAGGACCTGTTCCCCTCTTGATCCGGGTAGACGAACTTTCGCAGCAAATATCGTCAGATTTATTGCATTTCGCTGATGATGTAAAACTCTGGAGAGAGATACGCAACCAAAAGGATATACAGGCACTTCAGGAGGGTCTGACTCGACTTTAAATTTGGGCAGACGATAACAGACTTATCTTTAACACTTCAAAGTGTAAGGCAGTGCATCTGAGAGATGCTGCATACTACAGTTACAACTTAGGCAACTCCTTTCTAGAGGTATCTCAAGTTGAAAATGATCTAGGAGTGTTGATATTCTGTGATCTGAAATCTAACGCTAACTGCGACAAAAATGCCTTTCGAGCAAACCTTGCACTGGCGATATTGAAGCGCGTTTTCGACAGTTCGATGGAAGAACTTTCCACATAATCTTCCACAGTTTCATTCATCCCCATTTAGAGTACGGAAACATAAGGACACTCTGGAGCGTATCCAACGGCGAGCCACGAAATCAGTTCGGGGACTCAAATTTAAGCCTTATGAGGAGCGTTTCCACTGAACATTCACCGTTAGAGTACAGGCGTCTGATAGGTTGGCTATACAAGAGCGGCCTTTTATGAAACTGTAGTGTTAGGGTGGAAAGACGTCTATAGATAAGGTCAGAAGACATATGTTCCGGTACCTTTGAAACGTGATTTGATGTGGTTGCTTAGTTAAGATCCGTTAGCTAGTTTAGGCATACTAGAACTACATCCACTTAGTTAATGATCCAATCTGTCAAATGACCAATGCAGCCGTTAAATATCTCTTAAATCGACATTCGGGAATAATGTCAATCCCCCTAAGAAACTATTTAATTTTAGGAATTTTTGATCCCACACAAGTCAGCCAACCTTCACATAATGTGATAACATTTGTTTTCGGAAACTCTACTACTATTGAATAAATGTATTCGTCTGTGCTCATGACATACCAAAACGAAAAAGACTAGGGTAGCCGAGAGTTTAGCTTTTCCTCTCTGAATGCTTCAGGAGACATTGAACCGTACCTTAAAACTGAGATATGAACTCAGAGAAATCAAAAGGTTTGAGCGAGTTATTAAGAAAGATTCTGGATATTGGTATAGCCGACGACAAAATTTGGAGACCTATACACAGTATATCAGATAGAATAGTGTTACAGGATGATCTCAACCCATTAGTGGCATGAATGGACGGATGGTCCCCAGAAGTAAATTCTAACAACAATGTGGTTATGCAATTAACTATGTCGACTCGTACTACCAGAGAATGTGTGGATTTGCGTTACTCAAATTAATAAACTATAACGATTTAGGAGTCATAATAAGCAGTGATCACAAAACCACTAGTAATTGTAAGGCTGCTTCTGCAAAAGGCTATAGGGTATTATGGGCAATTCGTAGGTAGTTTCAGTACTTGGGCAAAGGAATGTCTACATTATTATACCTGGATTTCGTGCGACCGCCTTTGGAATATGGGATTCAAGCAGCGAGTCCTTGTTTCAGGTATGGGGCGGATATTCTAAAACGAGTCCAACGATGAGGGACTAAAATAGTCAAAGGTCTCTCTGGTCTATCTTACGAAAGCAGCCTGGGACGTCCCAACCTATTTCTGTTATTTTACCTCAGATTACGGTGTGATCTAATATTAGCTTATCGTATACTGAACGATGACCTAGGTAATAATATGTCTTATCTTTTCTTTCCGTCTAGGACTGATAGTGTGAGAGGACATTCGAGGACAGTTCAAAAACTGAAATCAAATAGTCTACGTCGAGAGTTTAGTTCATCTCACTGAGTAATGAATTACTGGAATTCTCTTCCAGAACATGTAATATCAACACCTTCTGTTGATATATTCAAAACAACAGTGGACATCCACAGTGCTTTAAACTTCAGGGATTAATATAGGTCGATAGATCTCCTATCCCTATCTTTATTACTGAAGACTGAAGATAGAGATATTGAACCTCGATGAGTAAACTTTGTCAAAGCGCCAGGACCGAAAGTTATGAGGGGTTATGGTTTTCAGGCTTGACCCATGTGGTATAGCATGTGTTGTGATTACTCACTTGCTTGTATTATACTCGGATTATGTTGTGGTATTTTACTTAGTTCTTCCGGTTCTCAAAAACAGGTGATGGTTTTTGTTTCATTTTAAATCATTTTTATTAGTAAGCCGTTACTAAAGTATTCTTGTCTCAATATTTTCCTCACGGATTTGAATTTATTATAACTAACAACCAATAAACAGTAGCTTTCGAATGATATCTCGTGCATCTGAGACTTAAGAGCCGAGAAAATAATCTCATCTGCTTAGTACTGTTTAGCCGATCCAGTAAAAAGTAGACAGCCTGGTACCCTGTGTTGAAAACCACTTGTAAGGCTAATGTTCTGCACCAGTGTCGAAATTACAAGCGAACTGTGGTTACAACATTCTAGGTCCCTTAAATAATTAGATGGCCTCTTTCTTTGTTTTCTACTTCAGTCGATAGAACCTTGTTTTTCCAATCTTTATTCCTGCCGTATTTGTCAAACTATGACAATTCACTAAAATTGAAAATATGCGAGACCTCTAACGTAGTCTCTTGTCATTGGAAAGGAAGGAATGAACTGGAATTCAACCAGCCCAAATACCACGAGTACTTCACAAACCTGAACGGTCAACTTATGTTTTTTATGATCACTTTCCCAATACCATTGCGAAACGTGACCTTGGCATACTGTTAACAGAAAGATTAGACTAACGCAATCATATTGGAGATGTGGGAACAGACTGTGCTACTTTCTATCTCTTCCGTGGAAAACCTGTTATGTTCGTCACGGAACGTCATTTATATGTATGCGACCCCATTTCTAAAACCACTGTAATGTTGCACTTCCTACGATAAAACGAGTCTTTCTGTCAAAGTCCGAAGACATTTAATGATAGAGATTACAAGATTGAGACTATAATTTACGGACGACCTTTGAGCGACGCTAAAATGACCTTGAGAATATCCACCTACATACTACAGTTAAATGAGGGTTATAAACCAGTGTGAGGAATTAGGATTAATATTTGCAGTTGATAGTTAGGGTTAGGAATTTGATATAGTGTTTTCATCACGAGCTGACATCAGCTATAATGTCGAAACCCTATTTAGCAAAATTAATGAGCTGATTCCACGCCAAAATTCAAAACTGGTCATCGTAAATCTGATTGGTTCGTCCATAAATTATAGTCTCGCCGGAGTAGCTTAATCACTATCTTATATTATGTAGTCCAACTGCTCCAGTAAGCTAACATTACAATTCAGGGACATTGTGATCCACGAGGTTTCTGCAAAAACACCTATCAGTGGCGATTTGTTTCTACCCTCCCATATTTCAATAACAATAAACCACAATCCATCTATATTAAGTAGCTGTTTGATTTGGAATATATCAGCTACCATGTCTGTATATTTTAGTAATTGTTAGTCCTGTGATTAGCTGTACTTATTCACTACAAGACTATTCCACTGACTTGACCAGTTTGATTTAAAGTATATCCCAAAGATGTTTTGTTATTCAACTGCAATACAATAGCTGAGAAGTGTCTGATTTTGCGCATTTAAATCATTTGTTTGATATGATTTGTGTATGGGTAAATTACTCAGAATGTGATTCATCGTAAAGATTGCTTTCATTTTTCAAAGAACAAGTTCTCAACCCCATTTTCTACTACTTGCCATTTCTTTACAGCTTTTGGGCTATTCTGAATACGATATGCTTTAATATAGTGGCCTCTTTACTATTATTTTCTCATATATGTGCTGCTGTAACGGATCCAGGACTAATACCTTTGCATCGGTATACTGTTAATCAGTTAGCTAGTGTCCAGGTAATATTTCCTCTTTTACATCCAGTTTTCTGAATAGTTTGTCGTGTAAGGTTATCAAACTATGGTTTTCAGAATACAGGATGTAATAAAAACTCATATAGCTTTGTCTACTTATTGTAAACGGGCCAGTATCACTCATTAATTCACACCCCACCAACCCTCACCAAACCCAACTGACAGTTTTAAGTAAATTTCACCACAATTAAGAAATACCTTAACTAATACTTCAATAAGTTGTCTAAATAACTTTATAGTTAGAAAATGTGATCGGTTGACTAGTAGAGGAAAGTGAACGTTTAGGTCTATTGAAAGATGGTTTTTTTCGCAGACTGATAACAGTTGGTAAACTTCTGAAAACCACAAATCATTGTGCAGCTCTTCCTAGTTTAGGACACCTCAGCGCTACTCGCCCACTACTTCGTTCAATATCAAGTAGAAAACCTCTAGGTGTTAAAGCACACAATACCATTCAATCAACTGGTTAAAATCCAGTGATCTCGGTTTTCATCTTAAACTATTTTACTATGTCGCTCAATTTCGATCCAACAGCATAGATAGATAAACACAGCACTCTTGTTTCGGTCACAGTAGTAGTCATACTATTACCATTAATATATGTAATTTGTAGAGATTTGGATATTTTGAAGGTGTTTTCGCTGCAATATGACATTAAATAAAAAACGACTTCTATTAGTTCATAACAGAAATGATCAAACTAAATAGATGTCCGTAAGCAATTTAGGTGGGTTTCTTACCAACAGTTCTTTAACATTGTTAGTGCTTTAAGTTAGAATTTAGTCTTTACTTGTATCTAGCACACCTTTTACGTGATAAAACTATCAGGGAATGATAATGCTTTATTTTTTCAGTTGGTTTTGATGAACTCAGTCAGTTGTTGATTCATACATAACTCATATCTTGCATGCTTAATCTATCCTATTACCACTAATGTAGGATCTAATCTGTCTTACAAATATTCTACCGGAACTGTAAACGCGACACTGACGACCCAGAGTCTATGTGGAAACTATAGTAAGAACAAGGACATTTTGGCTTTAAACTTTATTTCTGAATGTAAAAACACTTCAATTAGTACGATAATTAAGGCAATTATACTCATTAAGTGAAACGCACAAACATGCCGACCAGTATTATTTATTTATTTATTTATTTGAACACATAAATATTGGTACAGGGGGCACCAGTTTCGCGTGTCTTATCGAAATGAATAAAAAATATGAGTTACAGTCACACTAATACGGTATGATAACAATGTCATTTAATTGGCAGGTCACATGCAACAGACACGCCAGACCAGGTTGACGTGGTGGGTGTCTAAGCAGCGATTTGATTGATTAGTTATGGATATTACTAGTACTAATAATGTATTACTTTTGCTACTCTAGGATATAATCTGATAATTTCATTTATGTTAATGGAGTGTGGCAACTTGGAGTGAAATACGCATGTCCAGGTTCTACATTGCATCTGACTGACTTACGGCTTACTGGTATACTTGATATCTTTGTTTTTGAAATTGATATCCCCACTTTTTTAAACGTTATATACAGAAACCTGATGGATGGACTACTTGTAATAAATGTGGAATACATAGGCCACCGAGAGCTCATCATTGCCGAATTTGTCGACGGTGTGTAAGACGAATGGATCACCATTGTCCCTGGTTAGTGATATATGTATATGTTTAGACAAACGCTTGTTTATTTTATACACCGTGCTTTTAAGAAAAATATTTTCTCCAGTTGTATCATGAATATTCTTCATTATTTTATGTGGAGTTTGATGAATTGGATGGTTCAATACTAAAGCCTTCATTGTCCTTCTAAAAAGTGTCAACACAGACTGTGGTGTCAGATCATGCAGCTCGGCGAACATGACATTACCAACAACATCCATCAGAGTTCAGTTAGTCAGACATACACAACGTAAATTTCGGAACATGTGCACCGGTTTGATTTATCACACAACATCGACACAGCGAAATGTCAGTATGATATAATTAGTAACGGTGTTAGTGTTAAGTGTCATTATCAAGGTTTAACTTAACACCTACAACGACTCCTTGGATCACACAAAATCAAAACGTTCTATAAACGAACAACAAACACTCTTCGGAATGATTCAGTTCAAATAAAAGCTAAAATTCCTATCATTTTGGCACAGAATTGTGTCCATAGATTAGCGTGCCCAGATTCTGATGCATCACATATTAGAGAGTCTTCTCGTTAAATCACGACTCGTGCCAAAGAACATTTAATACACTAAAAGACATCCAAATAAACCTGTAAATATAGGAAATCTGCAAGCCAAGCCAGTAATATCAGTACATGCTATTTTTAACAACCGTCAAATCAATATTAATAATATTAAAATAATTCAAAGAGGATTTTCCAATTATAAAGAAAGGTGAGTGAATGAAGACTGGTTGTTGCTAAACCTAACCGCGCTGAATAATCTGAGGCAATAATTTTTTGGGGTGTGAATTTGTTTCGATTACCCTTAGACCAATGAAAAACGTTATATAGAGAGCCTACTTTTCGATGAGTAAAAACTTTCAACTTCAATAGTGTCACTTTACAAATCTTGTTGCCACAGTCAGGTCATTTTACATGTCTATATCAAGCACTGAGGTGAAGAATATGTTTCGACAATGTTGGTTGGCGTTGGGTTTCTAACGGAAGAAGAGTTTGTCAAACAATTTACAGTTTATGGGAATCAAACTTTGTCATTTTGTCAACTGAGATACCCATCGGAAAGAGAATAACTCATATTAAATACGTGTGCAGAATGAAAGGAAATTGGCAGCGTCTGACAAAATTTCCATCTACACGAATACATATCTCTGCAAACATCCTGTATAAGTTGGGCAAGCTATTGGTTGTGGATATTGGTCCTATGTTCATGTTCGTTTGGTAGATGGATTGTGTACAGTAACGAGATGGTTAATGGCTCATAACCATGGTTTCTGATGTGTTGCTCATGAGAAAAGCACATGTTTGCTTCGTTTGAAGGAAGATCAAATAAAGCGCACTCATTTTACTGTCGTCTGGAGCTGCACTCTTCGTTGTAATAGACTTTGTGTACGAAGCTCACGTTAACCGAATCACAGGACTGGATGTCTGAAGTATGCGCCGCTGTGTGTTTAAACAACTAAAGCTTATAGGTTTTCATTTTTCTCTTGATCATGACTTAACAATTAGTTTTGACACTTTTGGAGAATATGTCAGCCCGGATGCAATCAAGGATGAAATTTGCTCTCAATCTGTCGCTTCAAAAAGCTTGTTTCACGTGTGTTTATCCGAGGACCCTGTGGCATCTTCGTCTGGTCTTGCTGACGTTGGTGTCGCACTAAGCGCTACAGCTCAGGCAGCACTAATCGACTGGATCCCCATTAACAGTCGGTTATGTGCTATTAGGTTAGAAGGTTCCATCAAAGTGAAAAGAAATCGGCGTGAGAAACGATGTCTTTAAGTCATCTCCGCCTATACCCCGACAGATTGCATCCCGGATGCAATCAAGGATGAATTCTACCACCAGTTTACTGTTCTTCTCCAGAAAGTACGTCCGACAGATATTGTAGTACTAGCCGGAGACTTGAATGCTCAGGTCGGGCGTCTAGGCACAGAAGAGAGTCGTTTAGGTGGACTATGAGGACTTGTTGGTCGCAGGGCAGATAACGGGAAACGTCTGCTGCAACTATGCACAGACTACAACCTGTTTCTGACTAGCACTAACTTTCGGCACAGTCATTGCCGATGTGCCACCTGGCGTCCTCCTTCTGCATCTCAAGCCTGGACTCAGATTGATCACATCGCGATCAGCTACCGCTGGCGTGGTTGCGTACAAGACTGCCACTCCTTTTGGAGTACCTATCTGAACTCTGATCATGCCCTGGTCTGCGCCAATCTTACCTTACTTTTCAGTGGCCAACGAAGTGACCGCCACCAAAGGATTGATGTTAGCAAGCTGGTTGCAACTTCTGTTGCTAGTAAGTACCGAACAGAGCTAGCTTCTAGGCTAGCTACCATTCCACCGAAAAGTATGGATGAGCATTGGTTGCAATTGCATGACGCCATGAATATGGCGGGCAAAGTCAGTTGTGGGTTCGCGAACACATAAATATTGGTACAAGGGAGCACCAAATATATATGCGCCACACAAAACTATGAGAATTTAAAGAGAAGGGAAAAAAGGTAAAGAACGTAGGGAAAAAAAAGGGAACAATAACGACCAGATTAGTGTAAGGTAGTGCAATAGTAGTAATAATGGGGGAAACGAAAAGGTACAATCAGAAGAAATCTTTCAGTTCAGGAAGAAGCAACCACTTTTTATAAAGAAAGTAAAAGGTTACAGCAGGATCGCCATTGGCTTCTATTCTGAGCTATATCTGATAACGTCTCTAGCCACTGTGTTGCACCATTTATGTGTTCGCGAACCCACAACTGACTTTGCCCGCCATATTCATGGCGTCATGCAATTGCAACCAATGCTCATCCATACTTTTCGGTGGAATGGTAGCTAGCCTAGAAGCTAGCTCTGTTCGGTACTTACTAGCAACAGAAGTTGCAACCAGCTTGCTAACATCAATCCTTTGGTGGCGGTCACTTCGTTGGCCACTGAAAAGTAAGGTAAGATTGGCGCAGACCAGGGCATGATCAGAGTTCAGATAGGTACTCCAAAAGGAGTGGCAGTCTTGTACGCAACCACGCCAGCGGTAGCTGATCGCGATGTGATCAATCTGAGTCCAGGCTTGAGATGCAGAAGGAGGACGCCAGGTGGCACATCGGCAATGACTGTGCCGAAAGTTAGTGCTAGTCAGAAACAGGTTGTAGTCTGTGCATAGTTGCAGCAGACGTTTCCCGTTATCTGCCCTGCGACCAACAAGTCCTCATAGTCCACCTAAACGACTCTCTTCTGTGCCTAGACGCCCGACCTGAGCATTCAAGTCTCCGGCTAGTACTACAATATCTGTCGGACGTACTTTCTGGAGAAGAACAGTAAACTGGTGGTAGAATTCATCCTTGATTGCATCCGGGATGCAATCTGTCGGGGTATAGGCGGAGATGACTTAAAGACATCGTTTCTCACGCCGATTTCTTTTCACTTTGATGGAACCTTCTAACCTAATAGCACATAACCGACTGTTAATGGGGATCCAGTCGATTAGTGCTGCCTGAGCTGTAGCGCTTAGTGCGACACCAACGTCAGCAAGACCAGACGAAGATGCCACAGGGTCCTCGGATAAACACACGTGAAACAAGCTTTTTGAAGCGACAGATTGTGAGCAAATTTGTGGTTCTTCACTAGAGTCTTGATTACGGGTCTCGGATAGACAACACACGTCGATATTAAGACTTCCCAAAGACATAATCAGCCCTATCTGTTGTCCGACCTGCATAAGTGTGCGAACGTTGAAGGTAGCCAGTTTGAATGGTGCACGTGGTTTCAGAAAAACTGCTTCAGTATTGGTATTCGGTGGTAGCGTACAATTTTCAACCAGGCAGTGATTCGAGGACGTTTAGATAGAGCCGAATTTCACCATAGGCGAGCTGCTGTCTGAGTCGAAAAGGATACATAAAGTGGGAATAAGGGAGAGTGAATGAATGACGTAGTAAATAATAATAATAATAATAATAATAATAATAGTGCAAGTCATTTCATCGTTATCGGAGCGAAAGGGATATTTTCCATAAGAAGATAGTTCATCATGTTTTAGTGTGTGGGCTAAAATACTGCCCGGGTGCCCAGACCGGAGCAGGTGGTTTTCTTAGGGGACCACACCCCGAGCCTTCGACCTAAAGGTCTAGTCCACAAGGCAGTGGAGCATCGTGAGGAGATGCAGTTCTATGGTAGCCGGTGACCAATAAATTGGTTCATACGCCATTTGTTACCTCAGGATACTAGAGCCCATGTGCACCACTGATTTGGGATCCGGTTAAAGCGCCGGACATTCGCTTTTCGTCCTCTGAATTTCGTGAACAACACCCCCGTCACGAGAAGGCAGTTATTAGGACTTTCCTGGCAAAGGCTGTATACTCATGGCCGTTTGAGAGTATTTCGAGAGGTAGGGCGAACCCACCCTACTCTCGGCCATACCAGGGCATTTGGGGGATAAATGTTTATTAGCTTTATCTTCATAGCCTATTTTGCTCATGACCACTGTTGTATTTTCTGTGTCGGTTTCGGTAATAATAATCGCTTTGCCCTTTTGCAATAAATTTATAGCTCGCAATATTCTTTTGAGATGTTAGGCGGAAGGCGTTTTTTTCGTCAAAATGTGAGATGTTTCCTGATGTATCATAGGAGACTTTTTAGTGATTGTTCATATTGAGGTCCCAGATTCTGAGCAATTTCTAAATGGTTTTCTGTGTAAATTAAAATTCAACCCTTCACTAAATAAGTGATCGCTTGGTTATTTTGATTGTTCCGTTTAAGACTGTGAACTAGTTATTTGAGTCATTTATTCATCAAATAATTTCCATTTAACTAAGACCTACTGAATCATTTATTGGATTAGGATGCTTTCAAATTGTTCCATCGAATCTTCTTTCTTTTTTTATTCTTGATTACTGGCTTATATCATTCACGTTTAAGTGTATTGCAAATTGTTATAACTTGTGGCCTGTGTGCCCTGTTAATGTATAACGTGATGATACCGCCAATTAGAGAGCAGTGAATTATCGATCGGACCAATGACACATAAAACACGTACGAGCAGTCTGGAGTTCTGATTGGTCCTACTCTCCGCCTAGCCCAACCAGTTGAGTCCAGAAGACCCATCTCAGCCTCTGCAATATGAATCATGTATTTCAAACATACTCGGTTTATATACACCAATCAAGCAGACCACGACGTACCATAAAATAGAAAATAACATTGTACAAAATTTGGCCAAATGTGGATGTGAATGTGGGAGATAGTAATGGATAGACAGAGCACAATTCAAGAATGGTAAATCGTATATTAATAGTTCATAAGTCAAAATATAGCTTATAATAAGAGGGACATGAATATGAATAGTTTAGTTATTTAACAATTATACAATAAAAATATACGTTTAGTATTGATCCATAAATAGATCCCAAAAGTTACCATTCATTATGTTTACGAATTAAGAAGATTGATTTGTTGCTATGTAACATATTTACGTTTTTCTTTTTATTCACATTACAGGATTAATAATTGTGTTGGTGAATGTAATCAAAAATATTTTATTCAATTTTTAATTTATGTTGGTAAGTTTGAATATATTTATATATGATTTATTTTATTTTATTTGAACACATAGATATTGGTACAAAGAGGCACCAAATATATATGCGCCACACAAATTTTCATTTTATTTGTGTATGGGCTGTGATACTGCCCGGGTGCCCAGACCGAAGCAGGTGGTTTTCTTAGGGGGCTACACCCTAAGCCTTTGACCTAAGGGTCTGGCCCCCAAATGCCCTGGTATGACCGAGAGTGGGGTGAGTCCGCTCTCCAAAAGCTTTTACATGGCCATGCGTATATAGCCTCTGTCAGGGAAATCCTACTCACTGCCTTCTCTTGGCGGGGGTGTTGTTTACGAAATTGAGAGGACGAAAAGCGAATGTCCGGCGCTCTAACCGAATCCCAAACCAATGGTGCACATGGGCTCCAGTATCCTGAAGGAAAAAATGGCGTATGAAACAATTGTTGGTCACTGGCTACCATGGGATTGCATCTCCTCACGATGCTCCACTGCCTTGTGGGTCAGACGTTCAGGTCGGAGGCTCGGGGTGTGGCCCTCTAAGAAAACCACCTGCTTCGGTCTGGGCACCCTGGTAGTATCACAGCCCTCACACAAATCAATTGAGATTCGTGTAGCGCATATGTATTTGGTGCCCCATTGTACCAATACTTATGTGTTAAAATAAATAATAAAAATAAACTAACCCACAAGGCAACGGAGCATCATGAGGAGATGCAGTCCCATGGAAATTGGTTCATACGCCATTTGTTACGCTGGATACTGGAGCCCATGTGCACCATTGATTTGGGATCCGGTTAAAGCGCCAGGCATTCTTTTTTCGTCCTCTCAATTTCGTAAACAACACCCCCACACACATAGAATACATTTCTCATCAATGACTGTGAACCTGTTTATTTAAGTCGTATTATTAATTTTCGAATGTAAACTAAACACATATTGTATACTGATTACTGTCCGTATTGTGTTTGTGTAACGTAACAAATTTAATTGTGATGGGTCTGCATTTTTATTAAAGACTATGATTAGTTACGTGAAATATCACTTGTAAGTAATAGACGTCCGAATGTCCACAAACATTATACACAGGAAGTATATTGTGTTGTGCGGTCGTCTAATTCTTCTATTGGTATAAAGACTTCCTGTACTCGAGCCCAAACCAGTTATTCCTGTGAAAAAATCGATATTGAGAAGGAAGCTTTATTAAGTAAAACAGATTGCAGAATACGTATACACTCATTCTTTTATACATATGTTTGTCTCTGAAATAATGTTAGGTTTCTCCTGAAACGTTGATTTGCCTAGGACGAACGATGGAATAATTCTGTTGTGTATACAACTGACTCGTATTATACTAAATACTCAACCACACATCAGCTCAAATCGGATTATGAACACGTTGTCCACTTGAATAGCACGAATATTAATTAGTACATGAAATACAGTGGGTAGGAAAATATAAATAACAATCAAATATATGTCGGACTATCAATCAATACTTCTGGAAACAATAACTAATCATCGTTGAGTTTCATCTACACAACAATTCTTTAGAAAATGAAACTAAATCATGACCGATGGTGTATGCTTATCTTTTGGCTCATGTTTGGTTCATCAAGCATATAAAAGTGTCTGGTCTAAATCATAATCTATAGGTGAATAAATAGACCAGCATACTTGAACCACCGAATAAAATATATTCAGCAGGTACGTTATAGACCTAGTAATTTAACAGAAATACTAGAAAGAACTAATTAAATGTGTAGTAGTATGTATGCAGTGAACGAGAACTCAGGTGGGAGAAACCCAATTTATTGTTTAGTGCACAATCACATAGTGATTTAGCAAAGTGTGAAAATCATCCAACAATTACAACATTTGCACATGTTCTTGGAATAATTTCTTATAAGCATCATCGTTCCTTTTCCCTGTTGTTATCTTAATTGTCTTTAGTTTCTTTCTTTCATCTCTTCATTCCAATCTTCTGAATTTTTGACTCTCAGACATTTCAATTCTGACGTGTTACATACTACTTAGATCTTCAGACATAAGTAGCATACACCACATGCGTATTATTGTGAACAGCAATCAGCCTACAACGTGTGTTCAGTTTACATTAGGAAATTAACTATACAATTTAAACAAAATGTTCTATAACAGATAATGAGAAATGCAGAAATTTTGTGAAATTATTGAAGATATAAATATAAACAAAAACTTTACAAATTAAGTCCAAGTCAACATTAAAAAAAATCGTTACGGACATTATCTCCACACGAACTCAAGTGCTCGAGTGGCTTTCATCAATTTACGTCATTTGTGGCCTAGGCGAAATCTCCATCCAAACCAACCGAATAACTACTTTGCTACTCAACAGTCTACCTGCATTAACATTACTTTACGATTGTAAATCATGCTTTGTAGAAGTAGTAGACAAGTGTAAACTGCACTTTTTCAATTATAGGTATTTTCGAAGTGTTGTTCGTGCCTCGTGCAACGATCGCATGATAATTAGTGTTGAGAATAGAGGACAGGTATCGAATGAAGGCGGGAAGCCGATTGACGAGATAGTGAATCTTTATAGACTGATATTGTTGAGACAAGTGTTACATACACCAAACTATTACCAAACTCGATGTGTAATGATTGGATAATATAGGAAGAATTTTAGAAGAAACTAAGTTTGAGTCCTAGAGATGGTACACGGTAATGACTTGGGTTATCGTAAGACATGAACCGGAACAGAAACCAATGATGATCCTACATTAGTTTCATTTTATTTTGTTGAAGTGAGACGGACATGATTAACTACGAGAAATCTCAGGTTGCATTTCTAACTGAACTGCATATCCTATCATACACTGTTCTTGTCCGTCATATATATATCAATGCATTCCGTTCCCCCTCCTATTTCTTCACAACGATTGTGTACCTCCAGTTTTAAAGAAACGAATAGTTTGTGTATAATTTTATTAAGGAATTACTAAGGAAGTAAGTATGAAACAATAGTTTTGTGATTAAATCAATCAAGTCACATTACATCTACCCGGTCAGCCAGATTTTTATCTCTAACGCCATAGTAACGAAATGACTCACAACCGACTATGTTAGTCTGTATATGCTGACTGATTAATTAATTACATTTTTATTAAGAAAGAATATGTTATGTTTTCTGTATGTTCTGATTTCAGGAATTCTTTGTCTATATGCTCTGACACTGGTACTTATATGTCGTGCTATGATCTCGGCCGGTTTAAAAGAAGACGCGTCTAATGCCGATGTTGTAGTTGTGTAAGCAATCAATATTAAACTTTCTTATTAGATATTGTCTTTTAATGTATTTCTTTTTCATTGCCACTGTTATTGAATGTATAAACTGTAGATCACTGAAGTGGGCAAATTTTTATTAACAAGCTAAATTGAATACGGATAATGTCAGGTGGACCTTACAAAATGCTAAAATATTTCCCTAACTAATTTATTGATATGCATCATTTACTAATCAAATTCCAAAGTAGTTACTTTATTCATCATTGTTAAAAATGTAATTTGATCAAGGAAATGAGTTCAATTTTTGTACTTATTTTGTTTCCTTTTGTGTAACTGTAAATCAACTTTGTCTGTCGTAATTTACATTACCGACGTTGGATTAGCGTCAGTTTACTTTAATCTGTGGGAATAATGATATTTTGATGTAATTGAGTTTATGACGTGGTTTTGATTAATACGTATTGATTGGCTATATACTTATGTGTAGCCCAAATTTATTTTGAATTATTTACGGATTAACTAACCTAAGTAGTTTTAGAATACAATAATTTTAATGTTATATATGTAAGGTAAGGTTCACTCGACAATATCCGTCTTTTTAGATCCTTCACATACGTTTATGTCAGTTCAGAGACCAGTCAATTATGCATAATGTAGAATTTGACACATATGCATCAGTTCAAGTTATTGTACCACTTAAGCACAGTGAGATTATGTTATCAAGACAAATCGCACGGTTGTCGAAGTTGTAGTAGGAAAGGTTAGGCATAGAAAAAGAACAAAAGAAGGTATGAGGAGATTTAGGGGATCAGTGAATATGTCTACTTTATTGTGAATGATACTGAATCATATCACCCAAATTCTCTAACCATTGATTACGTTAATCGTTCGGACCCCAACCAAATAATTGCTGTGCCTACTTACGTGGTTTGATCCAAATATCAACGACTTTATAGACTGGTGCCATATCTCGGTTTAATCCGATAGAATGGAATAAAAATGCGATTTTTTATGCTTATTAAACAGTCAATTTGAATTAACTTAAATCACTTAGTTAGATCAACCATTGGAGGGTCAAGAAACACTAGACAGTTTTTTTTTCCGTCTTATTATTGGTATTCCTCAACAATGCCTACTCACAACCTCATCATTGATTATTGATTAAACCTAGAACCATTCACGTCTCATAGCGAACGCTTAACCTTTAAACTATTGAACCAGAATTCAATCGTTTGCACTTCTAGCTTCAATCAATTCGTCAATTGCAAATAGCACACATATATACACACACAGTTTGACACTCAGGACATCATTTTTGTTATCTACCAAGGGTATGTTTAGAACAGATTATCAATGGAACACTTGATATTTAGTATTAATGCAATGTATATAACTTACTCCATTTGGAAATTTATGGTTTAGTTTATTTCCTTACTATTTTGTTTGTTTGTTCTTTGTATTCAGCGCTCATACAATTGTACTTGTAGCAATCTCTTGTCTATTTGGATTATTTATTCTAGCTATTCTATCTGATCAGGTAATTGAAATAATGAATTGTATAATATGAAAATATGTTCATGTTACTATTATTTACCTTTTTTTTGTAGAAAAAATAGAAAACTTAATGGACATTCTGTCGGAGACAACATTAGAGCTTTGCATAAATATATGCTAACCCACGTTGGCATGCAGAAACAACGATAACACAACAAAGTAAATATCAAACTAGCCAAGATAACTGCAGTAAAAATGATCGTGAGGAAGGTTAAATATTGGGGATTCAGTTCAAGAAGTTATTTATGAAAAAGTACTGGAACTGAAGAACTGCCCCTAAATGCATTGATATAGCCGAGAGTAGATTGGAAAGATTCACTATCCTTCTCCAAATCCTCTCACATGGCCACGCGTATACAGCCACTGCCAGGGAAATCCTACTCACTGTCTTCTCGTGGCGAGAGTGTTGTTTGAGATATTAAGAGGACGAAAAGCGAATATCCTCACCTAGGGGAGTTGGAAAACCCTGATTCCAAACCAATGGTGCACATGCACTTCAGGATCATGAAGGAATAAGTGGCGTATGAACCTATTGTTGGTCACCGACCACCATTGGATTGCATCTCCTTACGTTGTTCCACTGCCCTATGGATTAGACCTTTAGGTCAAAGGTTTGGGATGTGGGGCTTACTAAGAAAATCACCTGCTTCGGTTCGGGCTTCCATACAGTATCTCAGCCTACCCAAATCGGATAGTGACTACAACTTGAGAAGTTATTCTTGCTTCATTTTCACAAATTATACTTACATTTATTCTGTTACATTCGTTTTTATTTACGTTGCATCACTTGTCTATTTCCTTTATATGGCTCATATATATTTTGGTGCCCCTCTTTACCAATATTTATGTATTTAATAAGTAAACGAAGTACTCAAAATCTAAAGAGAGATAAAGAGTGAATGAGTCTGTGCTATTGTGATTAATTCTAATCCATGTAACTCACCTTCCCTAACTATTGGTCGAAGTTACGAGGTAAATTCCAACGAAGTAGTCTCCATCTACCAATGTGATTTAGTTCAGTGGTCCATAATTTCATGAACTGACTGGTGCAACGTTTTGGTTTGTGCATTCTTAGTCATTTTACAAAGTATTCCTGTATTAGCCAATCATTACACATCGAGCTGGGTAATTGTTTAGCGTATGTAACACTTTTACCAACAATATCAGTCTATGAAGATTCATTATTTCACTAATCGACTTCCCTTTTTCATTCGATACCTGTCCTCTATTCTCAACACTGATTATCACTTGATCTGAATACGATATATCGAACAATACTTCGAAAATATCTATGATTGAAAAAGTGCAGTTTACACTTGTCTGCTACTTTACAATCATAAAGTAACGTTAATGCAGGTAGACTGTTGAGTAGCATACTTGTTGTTTGGTTGGGAGAGATTGAAATTTCGCCTAGGCCACAAATGACGTAAATTTATGAAAGCCACTCGAACACCTGAGTCCGTGCGAGGATTTCGTAAGGTATCATAGAACCAGAACTGATGAGTCTTCCAGAATAAGTGAGCTACTTAAATCGTTATAACCAGTCTAGCTAATGAATTATCATTAGTCTTTTTGTACGGTTTGATTTGGGTGTTCGACACAACATTCATATCTTTAAGTTTATGCAATGTTTCCCCTCTTCGATATGTATGATAAAATGGTTTTCTGATTTATCAGATGAGGATAACAGTATAATGTGTTGAATCGATTTCTGCTTATCTAGGTAGCTAGTTTGCTTAGTCGATGAGGCACATACTTGAAACTGCTTATTTCATATGTCAATTCAGTCATCGACCTGTATCTGCACGAAGATTTATTACTTTCTGTCTCAACATTTCCATCCATAACATTAGGCTAGTTCATAAATTCAGTGGCCATAAACACTGCCCTTAATATAGATTCACCATATATTGAACTAAAATAAGATCTAGCTTCAATTCTCTGTACTTGGTTACCATAATTCTCACAGTCTTAACCCCAACTAATCAGAAATACAATCCTCCCACGATGATTTAATGGTAAAGACTTATAAATATTGATCTTTGCAAACAACGTATACGTATTAATTTACTTACAAGTATATTGAAAATGAATTCAACGTCTAGTTTACTAAAACAACTGTCTACCAAAAGAAAGACGTCGCTTCAAACGCGGTATAAATATGAAATATGTCTCCTTTATTGTTGTAGGGTGGTTGAGTACTACAAAGCAAAGTAACAATAAATTCACATTTACAAAACCATAAAAAAGAAATAATCATTGAATTTTCTAACTCTATTTGACAATATAAATAATAATACTTTCTTGCTGGAAAGGATTTCTGATCTTCATATCGTAACATTACATTTCAACATAAATCGATAATTTCAGTTGAAATACTTGATTATTAGAAAATATCAAAACTTTTATTTTAAAGTTTACCTTGTATCCAATACAATGTGTTTTCAATGGTTAAGATCATGAATCAGTTGAAGCTAGACCACCATGGAATACCTGGGAGCACTGGACTGTCGTCTCGTCCTATTGTGGGACTCCTCAGCAGTGCGCATCCACGACCTCGCCCCTTGCGAGATTAGAACCCAAAACCTGCTGGTTTCGTGCGCGAGCATTTAACCACTAGACGGCATCCAATGTGTTTTGACATATGATTTCGGAAAAATCTCATGTATATGTATTACCAGGTTATTCAGACAGATAAACATTGGTACAAAGAGGTACTCAACAGATATGCACCACATAAATTATTCGATTTTTGTAAGGGTTGGGATACTGCCGAAACAGGTGATTTTCTTAGGGGATCACACCCCGAACCTTTGACCTAAAGGTCTGATTCACAAGGCAGTGAAACAACTTTGGGAGATGCAATCCAATGGTAGCCGGTGACCAACGATTGGTTCATACGGCATCTGTTTCCTTAGGATCCTGGAGCCAATGTGCACCATTAGTTAGGAATCAGAGTTTTTCAACTCCCCTAGGTGGACTCTCTGTATCCACCAACCCGGTTAAATCGCCGGACATTCGCTTTTCATCCTCTGGATTTCGTAGACAACACCTCCGCCACGTTGGAGATTATATATTAATTTTATTTTTACTGTTCATATTTCTAGTCATTTATTGATATATGGCTAGTAATAAGTAAGATATGATTGGACACGGTGTCTTAATTGAAAGATATTGACCTTACTGACATGGTATGTGATTTTCTGTTTTATTATGGATTTGCACTATGTGTATTGGCTGCTTGGAATAATGTATTATGTAATCTATGCTCTGGTTCTCTATATTTGATCTTGAATCATGTGCCTGGTATAATATGAACTAAGTCTGTGTATAGTATATCCATTGAGTCTAATGATATGAAAATCTCGATCACATTTAAATATGCCTCTTTTTTTTTCCTTTCATAATCCTACCGAACTACAATATTGTTGATGAATTAGTACAAGTCAATTGTTGAAGACACAACAGCAGTTGAAGCTTGGTTATCGGGTAATATTCCACATTCTTCATCCGATACAGAAGCTTATCCAAATGATGGTGGCAACGGTGGTGTTGGTAGTGGAGGATTTCGTCGTAAATTATCCAAATTGACTCTGTTTCGTGAGGTTTTTGGAAGTGGTCAGTAGTAATCAGTTATTATTACCTTTTTTTACTGCTTACGATTCATATCCATTCGAATGAAATCTTTTGTTTTATCATTTACATAGAAATACTATGGTATTTTGAATATGGTCTTTCACTTAGAAAAACACAAATTAATATCTAAGTTCACTTATCTTACTCACTGAACAAATGCATTTTGTTTTTGCAACATTAGTGAAATCAACTTGTCCTCTTCAATCATTTGCATTAAGTAACTGATGTCTTGCAATTTGAACGCTTTACTCGATTCCTAAGCTATTCTTGAACCCCACAAGCTAGAACTATACAGCGACCTGAACACGAGAGAGAAGGCGCAAAGTATGCGAAAGTACTTTACTCCAAAGGTTCATTTTAATACAGAAAATATAAGGTTTTTATAATATTTTAAATGTCCTTGGGTTGCTGGAAGATTCTGGAATGCTACTAAACATAGTAACAGTATAGCAATCAGCCAATCAGAACCTCTACATGTGACATTTCACATCCTTGATGTTTCTGGCTAAAACTCCAAGTGAACGCTGATAGGATGAAATGCTTCTTAATGTTTCCTGACCCTTACGTGTCTTTTGCGAAAAATTTTCTGGATCATCCCAACAGTAACATAAGTACTTAAATGGAGAAGAATTTTTTTGTGACTCTCAATCAAATAGGATTGAGATTTCGAGGTCTATTCTGATTGAAAACCTAACTATTTCAAGTTTTAAAAGAGTGGATTTAATTTACACTAGTTTCGATTATCCCATTCTTGATATTTTGACATGTACTTTACGTGCAGTTTATTTCGATGTACACATTGTCACAAGTTTATCTAAAAGAGATAAACTGTGATTAGCAACAAAATCTAGGACTCGTATTTCGTCTTATTTGGAAATCATCAGTTGGATGTACCTGAGTCCTAAAGTTGTTGAAATACAGATACATCCAGTTGAAGAGTCCCAAATATGAAAATATACACGTACTGTATCAAACTGCCAATCACATCCTCTCCGTTCTATTTAAAATATCCGACTTTTTGGAATATTTTATTCTCAAATTTAAATTACTGTGCAGTTTTTCTGTAATATACAATTCAAACATCAAAGTAAATTCTATCATTTGTCCTACTGTCCTATTCATTTACCAAGTGCACCTTTATTATTCACTTGACTTGTATTAAAGGCTAGTGTTAATGTACCACCTACTGAACTACCCAAACTGTCATCTACTGCTTAAAAAATAATGATTTTCTAACCACAGGGTCACTACTTCATTTGGTTAGATACCATTTTTGCCACATTGTTTGTTATACATTAAATTTATAACAATATAAACTGTAATTTTCCAAATCATTCCCCCATCTATAGTTACTTATGTATTTCTAGTCAGTCTACGAATCAACCTTATCGGAATTGCCTTCAGTGTGCAAAACTTCAGATAGGTAGGGAAAAAATAATCAGAAAATCTCGTCCAAAATGGTATCACAACTATTCAGGAGATTTAGAAAACATTTCCCATATAAACTGATTTGAAAAGAAAGCACTGGTATATAACATCTTAAATAAAATTACATTATGACTCTAGATGCTAATTGATATTGCGTGCTCCGCTTACCAAACAGAGTTTTAATTCGAATTAATTTTCTGGTCCACTGTCGTGAACGAGAACACCAATGGGGATAATCAAATGTGTTTTAATATACTTACTTACTTACTTACGCCTGTTACTCCTAATAGAGCATAGGCCACCGACCAGCATTCTCCAACCCACTATGTCCTTGGCTTTCTTTTCTAGTTCCGTCCAATTCTTATTCATTTTTATCATGTCTATCTCCATTTCCCGACATAATGTGTTCTTTAGTCTTCCTATTTTCATTTGGCCTTGAGGATTCCATGTGAGGGCTTGTCTTGTGACGCAGTTGGGTGCTTTCCTCAATGTGTGTCCTATCCATTTCCAGCGCTTCTTCCTGATTTCTTCCCCCACTGGGATCTGATTTGTTCTCTCCCACAGCAGGTTGTTGCTAGTAGTGTCCGGCCAACGGATCCGAAGTATTTTGCGTAGACAACTGTTAATAAACACCTGTATCTTCTGGATAATGTATTTTAATATAACATTTCAGATTATCTTAGTAAAATCTGAGAACCATACAGTAAATACTTTATTTGCAAAATGTCAATCAACTGTCTCATATTTTGTTGTTGCTCCGTTTCTCTATCAATCACTTTCTGTTCTCGTACTCTTCGATTTTCTCAACCTTCTGCTGTCAGGCATTCCACTTTCGACTGGTGCTACATACTACTCATATCTGTCGACATCAGTAGCACTCAGCACACCGCGTCTACTATTCTTTCTATAACCTAACGTTCTAGACTTGACCGATTGTGTGTTCTGACACACAAACACAACTAACCTTAAGCTAACTTAAGCTCCTCTATTATCGGTCTGCTATATTATCCTCAAGGTTTTTTTCTATTTCCTTCCTTGAGTCTAAAGAGTAATCAGCAGTCAGTTTCTGTCACATGTATATTTCAGTCATCCTACCCAACCTGAAACCATCTCAAACATCCATTAGCCTGTATACTCGAATTTCCAGATCACACAGCAAATCAAATAGGAAAACCATACTTGGAAAATAATCATGCCATAAATAGTAGAGAGCGAAGTAAACAGTAACATAATTATTGATATCTATGGTATAGAAAGACGTATAATGCCAGTTAATTGGTCCACTCGAAGCTTGCTATAAGAAAAATGCTGATATACAATAACACAGTTACCTATTAAGTATTCTTATTCTCGTCTTGTTATAAGAAATTATATATTTGGCCGCCAAATTCCCTGGTACGGTCGAGGGTGGGGAGAGCCAGCTCTCCTTCTCGAAATGCTCTCACATGACCACGCGTTTACAGCCAATGTCAGGGAAGTCCTACTCACTGCCTTCTCGTAAGGAGAGTGTTGTTTACGAAATTGAGACAAGACAAAAACCGAATATCCGGCGTTTTAACCGGGTGGGCGGACACGGAGTTTCTATCTAGGGTAGTTGGAAAACCTTGATTCCAAACCAATGATGCTTATCGGTTTCAGTATTCTGAATAAACAAATGGCGTATGAACTAATTGTTGGTCACTGGCTACCATGGGACTGCATCGCCTAACGTTGCTCTACTGTCTTGTAAATCAGACCTTTAGATCAAAGGCTTCGGGTGTTGTGGCTCCTTAAGAAAACTACCTGTTTCGGTCTGGTCACCCGCTCAGTATCACAGCTCACACACAAATGAAGTGACTTGTGTGGAGCATATGTATTCGGTGCTCCTTTGTACCAATATTTATGTGTTCAAATAAATAAATAAATAAATACATATTTGTAAAAATCTCAGTAATTTAAATCATATATATAGCTTCGACTTCCCACTTAACAGTCTATCGTATACTACATTAGACTAAAGTTCCTTTCTAAAAAACTTTGAGAAATGCAATTTCCTAAATGTTCATGAAATCAATAAGTGAATGAATCGAAAATTATTTTCTTTTAATGATCAATTTTATGTTATCCCATTCAAAATTTCCAATTGCTTATTTATAATATCATATATAGTCTATAATTTTCTATGTGACACATTAGAAACCGATTATCTGATATCATATAGATCATTTTTAAGACAAATAACCATTTTATAGAAAATAAGTCTGGTTATTTTATACTTGTTTGCCTATTACTCTTTCTAGTTAAACTATAATGAATCCACTGATTTGATTACTATCTAAAGTCTAATCAATACTGTAGAATAATGCTTTTAATACAAGTGAATATTTCTTTTCTAATTCACATAATCGATTAATGTTAGTTTACGAATCATTGGCAACCAGTAAGTACTGGACAGCTGTTTCGTTCTAATATGGGTCTTCTCAGTAACAATGCACATCCACGATACCTCGTCAGGGATCGACCTCAGAACGTACAGGTCTCGTAAGGAGCAACTAATCTTTAGACCACAAAACTAACATCTAATGGCTTACATGTCGAACTTTAATCAATGTATGGTATTTCACAACAATCTTTCAGTTTAATAGGTGTTTAATTGTCTCACATAAAGTTTAATTGTCTCCATGAATCGCTTCTGACAGTATTTTCTGTATGATTTAAAACAGCGACATACTACGTTAAGTCATTTTTCGTTTTGTTATATTACGTAAAATCTACATTTATTTACAAACCCGATTATTTATGAAAGAATAAGTTAATTACAATAATTAGTATCATACTGTCTTTCAAAATGAAATCATTTGTTATTGTACTTCTTAATTTATCTTACAGTACACCTTCTAGAGCTCTGGCTCTTTAGTTAAGGCTTCTGACTTTTAGACATTTAGCCACAGGTTCAAATGTCATACCACATACCCCGGTTTTCAGGAACTGGGTCAGGTCAAAAGCCTTAACCAATGAGTTATCTCTCTAGCAGGTGTACTATATGGTAAATAAAGGAGTATATTAATAAATCATTTGGATTATAAAAGAGACAATATTACATTAAATAATTACAATTGATTTGTTCTATCACAGTCAATTGGTTTCAACTTTAAGATATTTAGCCTCGGGTTCTGTTATAACTTGTGACCGCCGATTAGAGGGCAGTGACTTATCAATCGGACCAATGGCGCGTAAAACACGTGCGGGCAGTCTAGAGTCTTGATTGGTCCTGCTTTCCACCTAGCCCAGCCAGTTGAGTCCAGAACGCCAATCCGAGACTGCAATATGAATCATTATATTCCAAATATATTGAGTTTATATACCAATCAAACAGACCACAACGTACCAATAAAATATGAAATAACATTTGTAAAAGAATTACCCAGATGTGACTGTGAATGCGGGAGGTAGTAATTAATATACTGGGTATAACTCAAGAATGATAAAACGTATAATAATGGTTTAGGGGTCAAAATAAAGCTTATAATAAGAGGAATATGAATATGCATAGTTTAGTTATTTAGTAATTATACAATAGAAATATACGTTTAGTCTTTGTCTATAAATGGATCGCAAAAGTTACCATTCATTATTCTTGTCGGAACAAAACAGGTTCAAACCTCATTCTACCTTCTTAAGCTTTAGTAACCAGGTAATACCACTAATCCTCACAATTAAAGTTTAGCTCAGAGCTAATTATACGAATCTGTATTCAGTTCATAAGTTGAATAGAATTACTCATTGTATATCTGATATCATGATTATATAAAATAGACATTTGCTGTTCATCTATGGATTGTTAACTGTTTCATTACCTAAATACACTAATCAAATTATTGTTATTATTATTATTATTTCTTTTGTAGGTCCATTTTACTCTTGGCTACTTCCATGTTCATATCTTTTCAAGCCTTATCCAAAATATTATACTGCTTTATCCAATATGATTAATGATGTAAATTACTCTGTCAACAGTTTTAGTAATAATAATAATAATAATAATAATACTAACAATAATCTTTCAATCAATCATCATCATCACCATGGAATTGATAATAAATCAACATCAATCACTACAGTTTCTTCATCTTCTCCTGTATTTACAATTGAAAATGATAGTGTTTCTTCATCCAGCTCTTCAAACAATCATTATTAATAGTGATTATTATCAATAAAATGTAATGATGAAATTCAGTATTTGGTTTTGTTTTATTTTCTCTCTCCCTCTCTCTCTCTCTGTATATGTGTGTATGTATGTGTATGTTTGGTTGTTAACCCTCATTATTTTTATATATTTGTAAATGATCTATGTATTATTTCTTGTTCTTCTTCTTTTCTTTCTCTCTTTCTTTCGTTGTGTAAACGTTGTTATTTTTCTCTTTTTTTTTCTTTTTTTCTTCTTGAATTAATTCATTATGTAAGTTTGGTTTTGTATTGGATATTGTTTTTATTTTAATTGCTTAATTGTATGTCTATTAAACATTATACTATCTGCTGAATTTACATTCTATTTTTTCTAATCATAGTAATCATAATAATAATAATACTAATACTATTACATATATGTATGCATATTATTAATATTTGCATTCTTTCCCTTTTATATCAATCATTATTGTGAAAATCTTAATTGCCCAGAATGATACATCTACTATAATTCTTTCATGTAAAATAGATTGTTTGTACTGTTAGCTACCCTCTGTTTGTTCTCCATGTGTCTTTGTCTCTGTGTGTGTATGTATGTATGTAAGTGTGAGTATATGTGTGTAGATAGATAGAGATTATCATAGATTTATAATAAACTATATATATATATATATATGGAGTGGTTTACATTTTGGGATATAATCAATAATTGTTTATCATATTCATCATAACCCTGTTTTCTTATCTTTATCATGTTCATAATTGTTATATTTAATAATGTAATATTAATAATAATAACCAATATATTTGATAATTCTGTTTATAAATTCAATATATGTACTTCATATTGATCAATTTTGACGATTATTTTAACTTGTTTTTCTTTTTTTTGTTGTTGTTTAGTTTACTTTTAATTGTTCTTCTTCTTTTTCTTCTTTTTTCTCTTATTGCTGTGTATTGTTTCCTTACAACATAGATGTACTTTTCATTCTAATTACATTTTATACACTTCCTTTTCTATTCTTTGTATACAAATATTGTATGATTTAACTTTGCAGTGATCAATTCTATACAACGTTAATAGAATATTTATGTTGATGATGATGATGGTGGTGGTGATGGTGATGTTGTGTAACAGCAGTAGTTTGTATTATGAAAAGAATAAAAAATAATTTATTATTTACAACTGAATAGTAATTAATTTATTGGATTATATTGGTGTTTGTGTAACAGATTGATTGATTGGTTGATTGATCAATTGATTGTGTTATCATTCTCTCTTATTACTACAATTCAAGCTATTCTTATTGTTTAGTATTCTTGGATATCAATTCAGTCGACAAGTCCCTAAATCAGAACACAATTGAATAAGGAAAAGATTATATTCCAAATAACAAAGTTAGATAGAAGTAAGAAACACAATAAGAGAAACGTTAGTACATTTATAGTTTTAACATGTGAAGACTCTCGAGTCTTCTCCATGTATCGGCTAGCACTGATTGGGTGAGAATTAGCCAATCAGTGTGCACCAACACAATCCTGCATTGAGCATGCTTTAATCCTATCTTGTCCCGCTAACAGATTGACTCTTTATTATATTGACTATTGTTTCTGGGATGACAATGTGTTCTCATTTTGGAATATCGAAACAAATGTCAAGTTGGGTTATACTTGATAGATTTTTTTTTCAAAAGGTGAACTTGCTCTCAGGTCTATGATGTTTACTGTCGACCTTCACTGATTGATATCAATTTTATAGAATAGATAGATTGTGATTAATGGTGGGATAAAGGTCGAGTGTGGGTCTCATCAGTTGTATGTATCTTTTATATCCTAGTACTGATTTTCATAAGGGGAATGGTATATAATACATTTCATTTCGGACGTTACCGCATCATCTGCTTAACTACTGAGTCCAACTAGCTACTAACGTGTTCAACAGAGGTACAGTTAGTTGTAAGCGTTTGTAATTTCTCAGCGGGTAACATGATTGATATTTAAAGTAAAATGTATTAATTAGATCTAGGTGTGTACATCAGCACTTGCATGAAGATACATTCAACTGGCGTGTCGAAAATCGGACAATGTGCACACCATAAATTTTACCACTAACCACAATCCATCTATTCCGTAAAACTAGGGTTAAAATGGTACTACTGGGCCAATTCGCACAGAACTCAGACACGCCGCTGAACATTAGTCAGACCTTTACTAATAATGATAACATCATTAATTCTGTCTTACAAATCTAAGTTTATCCCTTCGTTTGTCAGCCATGTTGAAAGAGATAAAAATAAAAGTTCTTCATTGAAGCCTTAATTAGCTAATAACGGAAAACTGACCTAAAAGAGATTTCACTAATAAAAATATCAATCACTTGAGTTCTTCCATTTGTTTTATGACGAGAATTTGACTTCGGTTGTCGAAAAGAAAATCAACGACTGGAACATTTCCTTTAGTATTAAAAATGTATGTTCACAAATTATTGAATGTAGTAATACTGACTTGTAAAGAAACCCTGTATTTCTCTTTTAAAATTTAAAATTTATGGAATTCGTCCAATAATTCTTAAATAAACTCTAATTTTCTCCAATCATGAATTAATTGGAATTAGACAAGTGTGAAGCATTGGATACTGTCTCAATGGTGTAGTGGTTGATTGCCCATTGTAAATGCTGAAGATTTTGGTCCCGGTGCTCTTTGGGTGACCTTAAATACATACTATTGATGAATGCTACACCAGGACGAAACAGTTATCTAATGGTTCTTGCATCTCAATCGTTGTATAAATAAAATCAGTTTGTGTTGTGGACTATGAAAGAAACAAAGAGGTCATTATATGTTAAACATCATAATAATACAATGATTAATGTGATGACATCTTTATTTTGGCTTAAAGATATTTCGATGTAATTACTTATCAGAGACCACTGGTAGTCTTCTTTCGTAAAGTTTTATCTTACTGTGGAGTTTGTTTCTGAATCGTTTTATCATTTGTACGTTAAAAATATGTTGATTGTTCTTGTACACAATATGTTTCATGATAAGTAACTAGTACTACATTACCTTGACTAAAAAACATCATCAATCAATTGAGATGTACATAACAACTACATAGTTAATATTTGTGATTGTATTATGTTATATAAGGTCGGCAATTCATTCAAACTGCTTGGTTTTGCTTCGCTTAATACCTATTATCAGTGCTTAGTGACTTTGAATGAGGTCGATTAAAATTCGTTGCATAGTAGTAGATCCATTCAGTTTGTATCACTAATACTTAATCTTTCGTATTACTGTTATTACTACTACTGCTACTACTAATACTGTTAGTACTTATATGACTCTTTGATTTGTCTTAATAATTTAATTTCGCTATTCATATGTAGTGTAGTACTTTGAAACAATATATATATTCCAAGTTCTACGTGGCATATACTTAACTAAATGACTACATTTGGGAATTTAACTACTGAGCTATTTTTGACTGGCCTTTCTGCCTGAAATCCCTCTGAGGTTACTGCTTGTCCCAAGCCCAGATAAAGGAGGAGGGTTGGGCATGGGGTTAGCGACTCCATCCCGTAGAAAACTAAACTCGCTAAAAAAAAGATAACCAGAAAAATTATTCTGTATTAATTGACTTTCAGTTATGTTAAAAAAGATAATAGGTAATATTTCCTAATGTTGAATGGAAACCAAATAGGATTAAATACATTATATGCAATTATTCGAAGTCATATCCTCTTTGTTTTAATGGTTTTCTTTTTTGTTTTACTTTGTTGATATTGTAGAATGAAGTTAATCTATTCCATTTCATGTCATGTAAATCTTTTATATACACTCATTGATAGAAATAAATAGATTGTCACGTTGTGTGTAACATCCATAAAACAATTTAGTTCATTATTAACTAAGAATAATCTTGATTATATATTCGTACAAGTTCAATTTTATAGATGAAAGTACGACGAAAGTGAATGAGATGATAACTTGACCGAGAACAAGAAACATATTGAATATCACTAACAGTACCTACTCCATATTATAAGTGAGATGTTTATTTCACAATTTTTATTTATTTATTTGAACACATAGATATTAGTACAAAGGAGCACCGAATACATATGCTCCACACAAGTCACTTCATTTGTGTGTGGGCTATGATGCTGACCGGGTGACCAGACCGAAACAGGTGGTTTTCTTAAGGAGCCACAACACCCGAAGCCTTTGATCTAAAGATCTGATTCACAAGGCAGTGGAGCCACGTTAGGCGATGCAGTTCCATGGTAGTCAGTAACAAACAATTGGTCCACACGCCATTTGATCCATCTGGATCCTGGATCCGACGTTCGAAATCAGGGTTTTCCAACCCTTCTAAATGGATCCTCTATATCCACCAACCCTATTGAAGCAACGGATATTCGCTCTTTGTCCTCTGAGTTTCGTAAACAACATCCCTGGTGCGAGAAGACAGTGAGACGAACTTCCCTGATAGTGCTTGTATGCATGTGACCATGTGAGAGAATTTCAAGAGGGAGAGCTGTTTCTCCTCACTTTCGGCCGTACAAGGGAAATTGGGGGCATTATCTATAAACAACTGTCCAGTTAAAAGAACAGAATAACTCCAGAAAGGAACCATAATGACGGTGCTAATTATTAGTTAAACGTGGTATGTCACACTACACTTACTTGGATAACCAAATTGATAGATGGTCAGATGTTTCCATTGAATAATGTTGAAATTATGTGTACCGCCAATTAAAAATGATCAATACAACTTTTATTATGATTAAATAAAAGTTGGCAGACAATATGAAGAATGTTATTGATAGGTATTAACATAGGTCAAACATACAAAGCAAACATTACAAAAAGAAGAGAGAGAAAGAGAAATGATAGTAGCCAATTGATTACTATTAGGAGTACTACGTGAATCAAAAATACTTTTTGCATAAATAGATGACAAATACTTACTCTTTTTGTATAAAACGTATAAGTTTTGTTATTATTTTGTGTATTTATCAATAGAAAATCATGATCTACAACCATTAGTATATGTTAACCTGTTAACTGATATGACATTGATTGTTATGTCCATATGAGAAAGTATCTAAAACAAAAGTATTATAATTTTCATGTATTGAGTAGTTGTGACCAGTTGAAGCTAGACCACCATGAAAAACCTTGGCTTCGAATCTCGCAGGGAGCGAGGTCGTGGATGCGCACTGCTGAGGAGTCCCATAATAGGACGAGACGGCCATCCAGTGCTTCCAGGTTTTCCATGGTGGTCTAGCTTCAACTGACTCATGATCTCAACTGCTGAAATTACTACAATCTCCACAAAAACCCCTTCTGATACTAATCATCATTTGAAACTATCTTGTATATAAAATTGGTTATACTTGTTAAGTGCCTTGTATTTGTGTAGTAATAAATACTCGTTCTAATCTATATGTAGTTCTTGACTATCCCTCGGATACTGAAATTAAGTAGTTCACATGGTTGACTATCGTGATTTGCTGAGTTTATTGGTCTAGCATTCAGATTTGCTAAGATGTTCAACAACTTGATTAGAAAATAAACGTCCAATTAGCTATACGTGTAAATAATTTCATCCATCCTTGTATTAATTAAGATGGCATATGTGTGTGATGATTTGTTCAATGTTATTCTGAACAATAACCGATGTTTTGACTTCTTCAAATAGTTTTGGAATTTATTCACTTGAAAATTAAAAGGAATTCTTCATATGGTATTGCAGTTGTTTTTTCCTCCTGTAAAGAAATTATTTATTTATTTATTTGAAAACAAGGAGGCACCAAAAACATATGCGCTGCACAAGTCTCATTTGATTTGTGCGAGGGCTGCGATACTGCCCAGGTGCCCAAACCGAAGCAGATAGTTTTCTTAGGGGACCACACCCGGAGCCTTCGACCTAAAGGTCTAATCCATAAGGCTGTGGAACATCGTGAGGAGATGCAGTCCCAACGATTGGTTCATACGCCATTTGTTCCTTCAGGATACTGGATCCCATGTGCACCATTGATTTGGAATTAGGGTTTTCCAACTCCCCTAGATGAACTCTCCGTGTCCACCAACCTGGTTAAAGCGCCGGACATTCGCTTTTAGTCTTCTCAATTTCGTAAACAACACCCGTGGTTTGAGAATGCAGTTAGTAGGACTTCCCTGGCAGAGGCTATATACGCGTGACCATGTGAGAGCATTTGGAGAGGGAGATCGGACTCTTCCCACTCTCGGCCATACCAGGGCATTTGGGGCCAAAATTCTGTTTTACTAATCTACTCTAATGATGTTTTATAAACTGACAATGAATTGTCTCAAATTTTACAAAAACTAATCTTACTTAGATAACTATTAAAATCCAAAAACATTGGATAACTATTTTATCCTAGTGTGGCATTCCTCAATAGTATGCACCTAAGATACTACCACGAGCACTGTAACCAAAATCTCTAACTTTCACAACGAGAAATCAACCCTTACACCATTGAGTCGGAATTCAATGCTTCACACTTGTCTAATTCCGCTCAATTCATGATTTTGCATAACCAACTCGCAATGTCATTGTTGGATAACTAATTCACACTCGATATGTTTGAAATCTGCTGGTTACACCATCACACTAGAACTCCATGAATCATTTCTTTAAACTGGTCACTTGTGAGCACATGATTATCATTAGTACATGAGGATTGTGTAGGTTGTTGATATTTATAGCATACATTAGGTACAGATTTTAGTACAGAAACTTTTGAAAATCAGGAATCACTGTACAGTTGTATTTTTCTAGTATTTGACTCGTGAGCAGTGTGTGTCTGTAACTCCATGGAGAATGGAATCCAAAGCGTCTATGCCCTGATTTCTAATGGTTGTCTAAGGTTAATTTTGGATGTGAACTATACTTGGGAAATATCCTAAGGATATAATAAGCTTAAGCGAATATAGAGAAAGCAAAGATTAAGTACTCAGATTACACTATGAATAATTGGTTTACAATGATTTGAGAACAAAAAGAGATATGGTAACAGGCAATAAGATAATTGCGTATTTGCAATAAGGGGAATACAGAAATCACCTGACCTGATTGTTACTTAGTAAACGTTAGTAAATATCAACATTGATGTTTCGATCAGTAGTTTGCGAACTTTGTCATTTTCTTTTAGATCTATCATTTTAACATTAACCAGTTTAATGCGTAATTACTGAATTTGTCAAATGACTAGTTCTTAATCTGGATATTCTAAACAATGTTACTGTATAATTCACTTGGTATTGTTTGCTTGTATCTTTTCATTGTTGTTTAAGACTGCAATTGATCATTCCGCAATGACATATGTGTATCCTTTGCGATTTGCCTTGATACTGCTTTAAGTCACAAGCTTTATAAGCAAAGATGGATAGTGGTTGGCAGTCCGCACAGGATGCATATATATGCCAACAAGAGACTGATCAATTGCAGTCCTAAACAACAATAGCAAACAATATCAAGTAAATTAAACTTCACTCCATTGCACAAGCAGATGGCTATCAGGACTCAGTAACTGAGTGGATAACGCGATGGCGTTTGAAGCGAACAGTACGGGGTTCGAGTCTGGGAGTGAACATCAGCTCTGGGATACCGGCACATCCGGCTGAAGAGTCCCGAATAGGACGAAACGCGCGTCCTGGATTCCACTGCTAACAACTAGCCATCTTTACTTATAATATTACTGTATGTTAATCAAGATTAGTATGTGTAGTTGACGATATGATTGACTAGGTCGGTTGTTAAGTATTTCTTAAAATTTTCACCATCTTTTTAAACTCAATATGCAACGAAATCCGGTTTTGGTTCTGCGATGAATAGTTTAAGTTTGTATCCGAATTGATGAATTATTCAACTTGGTAATCATTGTTTAAAATCAAAACAGTTAGATAATATACATTTCTTTGTCAATACTTCGATAAGAATTAAGTTATCAGAAGGGGTTTTGTGAAGATTGTACTAATTTCAACGGTTAAGATCATGAGTCAGTTGAACCTAGATCACCATGGAAAACCTGGAAGCACTGGACGGCCGTTTCGTCTTATTGTGGGACTCCCCAGTAGTGCGCATCCATGAGCTCGCCCCTTGCGAGATTTGAACCCAGGACCTACTGGTTTTGCGCGCGAGCACTTAACCACTAGACCACTGAGCCGGCATTCAATTCTGTTAATGTCTTACATAAACTAATCCACGAAATCGAGCGACACATCCACCATTGTCTTCAGTGAGTTACTGTCTCACAACATACCTGGTTGAACTCCACCGGTCACTACTTAAGTGCTTGCACGCGAAACCAGTAGGTCCTGGGTTCGAATCTCGCAAGGGGCGAGGTCGTGGATGCGCACTACTGGGGAGTCCCACGATAGGACGAAACGGCCGTCCAGTGCTTCCAGGTTTTCCATGGTGATCTAACTTCAACTGACTCATGATCTTAACCATTGAAAGAATTAAGTTCTTTGAACTGTATGGTTTAATTTTGAAGCTTTCACTGTATTTCTAGGCAATATCATCAACACAAAATTCAGATAGATATGAGCTATATTCATTTCTTTGCATATGGCTAACAGCTTGTCCTATCAGCCTTGATTATGATTGGTTGTTGTTAACTATTGTCCTATTGTTTTCTGTAAATTTACTGTGCATTTTTCCCATTTTAATTTGATTATCAGAATAAATATACAGACAACGATATTATGATGGTCAGTATTAACCAATAAAAGTCAAGGTCAACAGAACAAGCTTCTAATCATGTATGAAGGAATTCACTTCTATTTGAAGTTTAAACATTTGACGATCTCCCTTAGAAAGACAACAAAATGTTCAAGAATAAACTATCTATTTCAGAGAACACAATCTCACAATAGTTATGTTGAGCTACAAATCTTCTTTATTTCTTAGTCAATAGTATCATTTAAAATATCATTGTGTAGAGAACCTTCCAGATTAAAATTTCTTTTTTACCGATGGTGGGGAGAGTTATCTCCCACCCTCGAAATGCTCTCACATGGTCACGTGCATACAACTACTGCCAGGGAAGTCACACTCACTGCCTTCTCGCACCATGGGTGTTGTTTACGAAAATGAGAGGACTAAGAGCGAATGTCCAGCATTTTAACCGGGTTAAAGGACACAGAAGATCCACCTAGGGTAGTTGGAAAACCCTCATTTCAAACCAATGGTGCACATGGGATCCAGTATCCTGAAGGAACAAATGGCGTATGAACCAATCGTTGGTTACCGGATACCATGGGACTGCATCTCCTGACGTTGTTTCACTGTCTTGTGAATCAGATCTCTAGATCAAAGGCTTTGGGTGTAGTCCCCTAAGAAAACTACCTGTTTCGGTCTGGTCACCCGGTCAGCATCATAGCCCACACACAAATGAAGTGACTTGTGTGGAGCATATGTATTCGGTGCTCCTTTGTACCAATATTTATCTGTTCAAATAAATAATAAATAACATGAATTCAACTATTGAAATTACTACATTTTCCTAGCTGTAAACTTTTAGAGTAAAAATAATCTTGAAAATAATGAATAATAACTTTGCTCTTTTTCTATTAAACAGCATAATGACCGAACTGAATTGATACAATGGCTTTCCGGCCTTATATGAGCAAATACTGTACAAATTTATCATGGTAAGACGCGTAACATCACATTTCTATGACTTTAGTTAAATGCCTAATCTAAGCATTATTGCCGTTCAAATGTATCACTCAATATTTCATTTCATTGAAGTCCTGAACCGATCGAAGTTAGACTACCATTGAAAACCTGAAAACACTGGACAACCGTTTCGTCTTAGTATGAAAATCCTCAACATCATTGCTCATCCACGGTCTTACACACATAAATCGAATCCAGGCTTTTCCGACCCCCCCCCCACCTAGGTCGATCCTCCATATCCACCAACCCTGTTAAATCGTCGGACATTCGCTTTTCGTTTTGCTTCCATCATCTAGGATTCAATATGATCTGTAGAATAAAGATGTTTTTCACTATCACTATCTAATAGTAAATCAAATGAACTATAAATCAAAGATTAACTCTTCTTTTAAAAAAAAGAATAACATTATCATAGACTTTGAAATATTTCTATTCATTTCTCAACTGACTATTTAATGAATAGTGTATAGATTACTTCATTTGAACGGTGAGACTATAATTTATGAACGACCGTTGAGAGACCCTAAAGTGACCTTGAGAATGTCCACCTAGTTACTAAGGTTAAACAAGGGTTATAAACCAGTGTAAGGAATTACGATTTTGATTTACGGTTTATGGTTAAGGTTAGGAATTAGATTTGGGGTTTTCAACATCACGAATTGACATAAGCTATAATGCCAAATCTCTATTTATCCAAATGGATGAATGAATTTCGCGCCAAAATTTGAGACCTGTTATCTTAAATCTGATTGGTTCACCCATAAATTATGTATTGTATTTACTTAATTCAGACAATACAGTAGTATTAACTAACTGTTATTAGATACTTCTTCAATAGTTTATACTGGGGATGAATTAACCCTGTTGATATAGTGACTCTCTCGATAAGATATTCAATTTTCAGTTAATAAATCGTAGGTTTAGATTCCTTTCCACCTACTACATCTTATGCAGTCAGATTACATCACTAGGCCTCACATTAACAATGCAATTTAAAGTCGATTATGAAAATCTGTATTGATATCAAAAGGGATTAATATTTAACTTCAATTAATTTACGAAATTGAACTACACATTCATCATTGTTATCAATGAGTTACACCGTTGAAGGAGTCCCACAATAAGACGAAACAGCTATTCAGTGCTTTCAGATTTTCCATGGTGATCTAACTTCAATTGACTCATGATCTCAACTATTGAAATCTATATTGATTTGATCAGTTTATAATAATAAGAATAATATTCTAATAGATGAAATAATAACTGGGGAAATCAATCATTTTCTTTGTTTATTTGTTTATGTTTACATTTTCTTTTTTCTTATATAGTCTGACTTAGTGGATTATTCTGATTCAGATAAATCTGAATCGGAAATTTCATTGAATGAATATGAAAATTCAATCAACTTATCAGATTCAGATCCAGTTAATTTTCAATCTTCACAATCTGTTCATATAGCTGAAGAAGATTTCTTCAATCTGAAAGATAGTAATAATGAAAGCAATAGTAAGTTTTATTTTAATAATAATGAAAATGATAGAGTAGATAATGACTAAAAACAAGAAATTCGTGCTAGTCATTATTATTATCAGTATCGGAAGTTGTAAAGATTGTCTTATTTTAATAGGCGAATTCATCGGTCAAGCTGGATCGTTATTGAAAACCTGGAAGTAGTGGACGGACTTTTCGTCCTAGTATGGCACTCAGCAGTGGATGTCCACGCTCCCGCTTACGGAACTCGAAACCGAAAACCTTCGGTTTAGCTTGTGAATTCACCTATTAAAATACTACTATCCCCGAAATAATAATAATCATGTGCTCAATAATGACTAGCTTTAAAATATATTTCTTAAGTTCTAGTGAGAAGCCGTCGCCAGTGGATTTTAATTCGCCCCGGGTGGATACAGTTATTTACTTCAGACAATGGATGAAGGGTTGCGGAAGATAATGGATCGATTGAAGTTGGAAACTAACATCGTTAGATGCCGGCGCAGTGATCTAGAGGTTAAGCTTAAAATAATTTAGGTTGTTCAGCCATATGATAGACATGACAAAGAGTTTTCTGCATATTTGTTACTGGCTGAATTAATAACCATGTTGTTCAATAGGGAAGCTACATGTAGGGATTCTGGAATATTCTTCCAAAAGATGGTTTGATGGAATGTCTTCGACTCTTTTTGAACTTCTTAGAGCTTCTTCGAGTTCACCTGTGGGCTGTCCTCACAGTTGGATAACAATAGTTGTGTTTTTTTTATTACTACAAAATATTATTTAATATTTTAATCATTCATTATCAGTTATAGATTGTTATCTCATATTTAGAGATTCAATGCCAAAAAAATATTATCAACCGATGGAATTTAACTGATTGTATCTTAGGTTTAGCATTGTTTTTATGTTACTCAAAAGCCTATAACATTCTTTTATTGGCATGTTTCCATATACTAAAAAGCCTAGATAAGATTATTTTAAAACGGTTTTGTTAATTAGAATTAGAATATTGGTCTTTTAACTTTTTAAATTTGTTTTATACATTAACACAGTTGGATAACGGCTCAATGGTCTAGAGGTTGAGCGCTCACATGTGAGACTTAAAAGGTTATGCGTTCGAACCTTGCGAGGCGGGATCGTGGGTTCACATTACTGAGGTGTCCCATATTAGGACGAAACGGCCATCAAATGCTTCCAGCTTTTCTATAGTGTTCTAGCTTCAATTGAATCATGAATTCGACTACCGAATTCCTATAATATCCACAAAACTCCTCTCTTATTATTATTTTATTTATCCAAAGTATAGATTCTGATGCAACAAGGTACCGCAATAAATATGGACTACACAAATAAAGTTGTAGTGTTGTAGATACAATGTGGGAAGGAAGTGTAGCACAATCAATAAATAATGAAATGTATAGAAATAGCACTTAACAATAGATACAATTCAGTTAAAAATATAACCAGAAAGACTTCTTTTAGTTAAAGAAGACCGTCTTACTATTATGAAAGATGTAAAAGAAAACTACAATAGAATTGCCACTGTCTAAGTCATATATTTGTTGATGCCTGGGACTACTGAGTTGTATCATCTCCAGAACTCCAAGTAAAATGTTTTGATAGGTCTTAAGGTCCTTATAGTAAACATTTTTCTTCTATACCACAATATCATGCCGTAAACTGATCACCTGTTAGTTTATCCCACCAAATCCCAGAATCGGGAAATTGGGTAGTAATAAATAGCTATTAGATTAACATTTATGAGACATTACCAAATCTCTAAACTCTATGTTATAAAATAGGGTCACTTAGTTATTGTGACTGCACTAAACCGGAGTATTACTAAGATTCTGTCTTCACCGGACGTAAACATTCCCTCGGGAATAACAATGGCCATAAATGTATAGACGCTGGATATTCCCATCTCGGAGAAGACAATCTTCGCAAGTATAGAGTAGAACTTCTCTTATCGATGCATTTTAAATATAATTAGATCTCACGAATAATTCAGTGAGTCAGAGATCTGCAGTAGAAATTTGTGTTATAGTTTGTTACATTAGAATTCAACATACAATTGTCGAATATATTGCATTTTACGATAAAGTTTGGTTATATTGCCAAACTTGGATCACTTCTAAAGTGACCTGCAAAAAGCTTTAACCCGTTTTGACACACTAGGAAGAACTACTAAAAATGAATTTGTAACAGAAAATTAAAGCATTCACAAAGAGTATACTAGTTTGGCATCAATGTTAGATATTTTTAAGCCTGTCATTAGTTCTTCTATTTTAAATTCAACATCCTTTCTACGACCAATGCTTAATCTTATTTCAGTGGGATAGTTCTAACTGTTTCTCTAATCTTTCTCCTAAGAAACATTAAAACAAATTACAGTATCATCTCGTCATTCATTCCATTTTAACATTCATAGATGAGTGTTTTTCTCCTCAAGTTTTTGACCTGAAAGCCTAACCCACAAGACAGCGGAGCACTATTAGAATATCCTGCCCAACGATAGCCGGTGTCATAAGATGAAATCATGAATCATTGATTTCCTCGCGATCATGGAGCTCATGTGCACTATTAGTTAGAAGTCGGAGTTTTCCAACTCCTTTCGTCGGATTCTCCAAATCTTTCAACCCGTTTAAAGAGCCATATGTTCACTTTTCTCTCCCTCACTCTTGTAATGAAAATATCATTTCTATCTAATGAAAGTAATTCATAGGGTTCGCTTGTCACAATCTTTAGACTCGTCGCTATAGTAATAGTAAAGCAAACTCTCCTCATCCTCAGCCTTATCAGAGAATTAGTTTTATTTCATTCAATCCAAACGTTTTACGTGTACTTTTTCTTTTTTCTTTGAAAACATCATATTCATAAGAAATCTATTATTCAATTTATCATATATTTATTTTAGGTAATTTTTGGACATCCACAATACATGATAATGACTTATTACCATGTACATTGTCAATAATCAACAAAGATGATAAAACATTCTCATTACAAAAAGATAAATATTTAGATGAACAAAATGTATTATCTACCATTGATTCTATCAATTCATGGAATTCTACTGAAATAATGAATGGTAATAGTAATTTTCTTATTTCATATATGATTGACTATAAAGTAAGTATATTTTATCAATTGAATTAGTATAAATTAGATTCAGATAAATTTTATTCCTTAAAATGTATTTTCTTGATAAATGACTTTTATTAAAATGTTGACCCATTTTAATCAATTAGAAACTAATAATCATGAATTCATGAAGGTATCTATAAACTAAATGTAATAAAATTTATGAACAACAGTGTATTGTTTTAAAGAACAAACAGATGATTATGATAATACTCAAAGAGAAACTAAATATCTGTTGGGATGGGTGAGAGGAGATTATAAATAAACTTGCGTCATTTATGATGTAGGCGAGATATCCGTCTACCAATCAAAGGATGTGTTTACTGTACAGCAGTTCGTTCTATCCTACTTTATAGCTGTGAAACATGGCCGAGAAAAGTAGAGGATATTTGTGGGTTACTAGTATTCAATCATAGGTGTTTTCAAAGCATTGCTCGTATGTCTTGGGACCATCGAGTAACTAATGCAGTTGTTAGGAAACGGATACTAGATAAGGATGGCAAATCAATTGACGAAAGAGTGAGACTTCATTAGTTGAGATGGCTGGGACATGTGGTACGTATGCCCAACCAATGACTGCCCCGACGTGCGATGTTTTCTGGTGTAGGAGTAGGTTGGAAGAAAGCTAGAGGCGACCAGACCGAAACATGGCACAAATCCATGAAGTCATTGACAAGTGAACTGAGTCATGTTGGTAGGTGTAGACTACTTGGTTGGGGTCCGCGTGACTATCGTAACCAATGGTTGGAGACTCTGAGTGACATGAATCAGAATTGATCACAGTGGCGTAAGTGTATGCTTTCTCTGTCTTCCCTTTAAACTATGAGATTAAAATCGCTTCATATATTTCTTTATACCAACTAATTCTTTCTTCCTGTATTATACCATTATACACAATCTTTCTTCTATATATTACTACCATTGAATTAACTGTATCTATGAATTCGGTGTTGATGGTGTTCTGCTAATGAGGTATGGTGACTTGGGCCGATGCATATATGTACCTGCTTTTACGTTGTAGATGACTATCTATTATTATTATTGATTGATTGGTTGATTGATCTCCATTCATTTCATACTGAAATCATATCACTTCAATCTTACATTTGATCTCATATGTAATTACATTATTTTTGTGTTTGTATATATTAGGCGTCTAATATTGTTGATATCAATGATACTGTAATCTATCCTCGTCTCTCACTTCAATGGCCATATCTTGCATTATGTGGACCGTTATGCAAACAACCAAATGAAACTATTAATAAACTATCATCACATATCTTAATATGGCGACTTCCATATCCTGATAGTGGAAAAAATTCACCTTCACTTATTTGTGATTATCGAATTCATTTAGATAATGAACTGACTTCTACATCATTATCGTCATCAACATCATCATCATTATTATTACCATATTCACGACGAGATTCTTATTGTTGGACAAAATTTCATTCTTCTATAACAGATTCACAGTGTTTACAATTGATAGCAGCTACTCATAAAGGATTAATCGAAATTTGGGATATTAATCAAGGTAGGTCGAGTGTTCTTATCACTTTCTTGATATTCAATTTTTTTCAAATAAAAAAAAACTATTTTATTTCTCTAGTTGAAGTCATGAGTCAATTGAAGCTAGACTACCATAAAAAACCTGGAGACACTGAACGGCTTTATCATCCTAATATGAGACTCCTCAGCAATGCGCACCCACGATCCCGCACCCCGCGAGATTCGAACCCAAAACCTATCAATCTCGCTCGCGAGAGCTTAACTATTAGACCATTGAGCCGGCATGCAGCGGTGTTAATGTCTAACTTCAACCAATCCACAAAATTGCGCCACCGTACTCCATTGTATTTAATGAGCTGATATCTCACAACAGGCCAACGGGCGGGCATTTCCTGGAGTTCTAGTGAGAAGCCGTTACCAGTGGAGTTCAACTAGGTCTGTTATGAGATATCAGTTCACTGAAGACAATTGTGTACGGTGGTGCAATTTCGTGGATTAGTTGAAGCTAGACATTAACACCGCTGCATGCCGGCTCAATGGTCTAATGGTTAAGCGCTCGCTTGCTAGACTGATAGGTCCTGGGTTCGGATCTCGCGAGGAGCGGGATCGTGGATGCGCATCATTGAGGAATCCCACAATAGGACGAGACGACCGTCCAGCGATTTCAAATTTCCCATAGTGGTCTAGCTTCAATTGACTCATAATCTCAACTAATAATATTCTAAATTATTTCAAATAGAAAATTCTCATTTTCATTTATTTTATTTTCCATATGCTTCTATCTGGGCAACTTTTTTTCCCACTCTCTCCCTCTCTCTCTCTCTCTGTCTCTCTGTTTTCAAGAATGATTTCAACTATTGTCTATACTATTTTATCAATAAAAGTTAATCTGTCAGTTCTTCATCAATATTTGAACAAATAGCTTAATAGAAATTGCTCCGTAAGACATTATTTATGAAAGATATATTTGGAATAATCTCAACAACTAAAATTTAATTAATTTCAATATTCTCATTTACCACTCTTGTCTATATTCCTTCAGGGCATTTCAAATTGAAATCATGAAAGAATACATTAACTTTAATAATCAGATCTGTTTAAGATGTGAAAAATAATTTTAATAGTTGAATTCATGAATCGATTTAAGCTAGATCACCACTGAAAACATGGAAGCACTGGATGGTCATCTCGTCTTAGTATGAAACTTCTCAACAGTATGAAATAGCCGTGCAGTGCTTCTATGTTTCTAATGGTTGTCTCGTTTAGATTGGCTAATTCCATCAAGTGCCCTGGTACGGCCGAGGCTAGGGAGAGTCAGCTCACCCTCTCCAAATGCTCTCACATCGCCCCGCGTATATGGATACTGCCAGAGGATTCCTACTCACTGCCTTCTCACACCAACCGTGTTGTTTACGAAATTGAGAGGACGAAAAGCAAATGTTTATCAGAGACTTTAACCGGGTTTGTAGACACGGAGAGTTCACCTAGGGGAGTTGAAATAACTGCATTTCAAACTAATGGTGCATATGGGCTCCAGTATCCTGAGGGAACAAATGGCGTATGAACCAATTGTTGGTCACTAGTTGCCATGGAACTGCGTCTGACGTTGCTCCACTGCCTTGTGGATCAGACCTAGAGGTCGAAGGCTCAGAGTGTTGTCCTTCCTCAGAAAACCACCTGCTTCTGTCTGGTCAACCAGACAGTATCATATCTCACATACAAATCAAGTGACTTGTGTGGTTCATAAGTATGCAATGTCTCTTTGTACCAATATTTATGTTCAAACAAAGTAAGTAAATAATAAATGACTACAATTTCCACAAATCTCTATTCTGATAAAGAATTAGCATGTTTTGTTGTTTGCCATTTATATTATGAAGAGTTAATATGTGATAAATAAATATAATCTCTGTTTATCGCCAAGGAAATGTCAATCATTTCGTTAATTTTTAAGAAAGATCTTGAAGTACTGGACGTCCGTTCCGGACTCTTAAGCAGTGCACATTCACGACCGTGCCGCTCACGAGATTTGAACTTAGGACCTATCAGTTTCGCGTGCGAGCGCTTAACCATTAGACCATTGAGCCGGCATCCATTAGTGTTGATGTCTAACTTCAACTAATCCACGAAATTGCACCACCGTACACCATTGTCTTCAGTGAGCTGATATCTCACAACAGACCTGGTTGAACTCCACTGGTAACAGCTTCTCACTAGAACTCCAAGAAGTGCCTCTTTTAGTCAGTCACTAGTGAGCAGATTGACTCATAATTTCAGCTATTGAAATAACTAAAATCTCAACAAAACCCCTTCTGATATTTTTTAAAAAATAAAGAAATAAAAATCAAGATAATAGTACGAATAGAGAAAAAAAAGTTCTCAATTTATATCTAAAATGAGAAATGTCAACTACATAACTGTAATGATAATGGTATGTGTGATAAGTATTAAATGAATAGAAGAGATAAAGTACAAATTACATAATAATAAGCACTTCACAATGTGTGATTTGTTAAATATTATCTCTCCTAGTTACGACATTCTAATCAACCTATATATATATATATATATATATATATATATATATATATATATATATATATATATATATATATATATATATATATATATATATATATATATATATATATAATATTGCTGCTGTCAATCTTTCTTTTTGCATACTAAACTCTTTCTAAAGTATTTTAATCTCTTCAAAGTTGATCTTATGCCCTATTATGGTGTGTGTTACTGATATCGACTGATATAAGTAGTATGTACCATCATCCATCGAAAGTGAAATATCTGGTAGTAGAAAGTTAAGAAGATCGATGAGATTGATTGATGTGGAAATGAAAAAATGTCTGAGATGATTGATTGATATTTGCAAATGAAGTACTATTTTTTTTTTACTGTATATTTCTCAGATTTTACTAAGAGACTTTGTTATTCTGTATTCTGTCAACCAAGGATTTATGAACATGTTCCAAACACTGTTTGTGTTCTTTCAACCTCATATTCAGTTATTTAGATGTTTTTTTTCCACATAAACTATATTATAATAATGACAATTAATCTTATAGACAATATCCGGTCTCTCTTACTTTGGAAACTTACCCTTAACCAAAATCGATCTTATAGTGTCACTTACACGGAAGTGTTCATTTAGATTCCTCTCACTTTTTTCCAATGCTCCTGTACGGTACGGGGGGGGGTCCTTTACGATATACGATAAGGTTTAAGTATTTATTTTTACGTTCAAAAGTTATATATATTCTTTGACGATTTTTGATATTGATTATTGCCCAAATGAAGTCCAAACAAAATTATTAGACGTAATGTTGAAAGTGTTTACTTGTTAATCATTGAGATTATTTCATATATTACTTTTAAACATAAACTAATTTCAATAGTTGAGATCATGAGTCAATTGAAGCTAAATCACTATGGAAAACCTGGAAGCACTGGACGGCCGTTTCGTCCTTTTGTGGGACTCCTCAGTAGTGGGCATCCACGATCCTGCCTCGCGAGATTCGATAGGTAGAGAATCTTATAAATAATAATTATGATTATTGTTGAATCAATTAGGTATTTGTTTAAATCAACATTTAACTGTGGCCTGCTTGAACATCAACATATCTTAACAAGCTACCTGTCTTTTGCTTGTTTTAACACATCATTATGTCTATTAATCGCATAACTTATTCAAGTACGTTTGTGAAAAATTTACAACCCATCACTTCACAAGGTACAAAAAAAGTACAACCATCAGAGACATCTTGGTTACTGACAATATTTATTGAAAAGAATGATCATTGTGTCAGATATCGATGCCTGAACTATTAATATCAAACTAGTGGTCACTTAATATTTATCGTCAGAATAGATGAGGAAATAAGGAAACTTGTTGAAATACTTTGTGCTGAGAATTCTAGATTGGATCAAAAATATAATATTGAATAAAGCTAATAGTAATAAGTGTAATTAATATGTATTACTGTTCCCATACCTATATTGTCTAAATGAAATAATTCATCAATGAACATTATATTTTACACCTCTCTCTCTCTCTCTCTCTGACTACTTTATTTTACCATAAAATGCTTTACATTCATAGAAATTTCGTCCTAATTTCTGATCAGATAATTGTAATATGCTAATCGGTATTCAAACTAGGTCCAATGTTTCCTATCATGTTCCTTTAACTGCTGAATATCACACAAGTGTACAGTATGATGCTGAGTCAATATTGGATTCAAGTGATCGTATTGTAAATTTGATTAATAAAATATGGTCACCATTGAGAGCTAAATAACATTATATTAGTTTAGTACATATTAACTGATTAGTATGAACAATCATTTGTATTCCCCTGTTGTAGGATTTCCTGCTGACTACCTCTAACCACTTAACAAAGTGTTAAGATAACTGTTATAATTCTGTCTTTTTACTACCCAGCTATTCCTATTGCTTAGTATTCTTGAACAACAATTCACTCGACTAGTTCCCAAATCAGAACACGATTGAACAGGAGAGAAATTATATTTCAAATAAAGGGGGTAGATAGAAGTAAGAAAAACAATAAGAGAAACGTTAGTATATTTATAGTTTTTACATGAGAAGATTCTAGAGTGTTCTCCAAGTATGGACTAGCGCTGTTGGATAAGAATTAGCCAATCAGTGTGCACCAACGCAATCGTGCATGGAACATGCTTTAATCCAATCTATGCCCCACTAACAATAACAGATAGAATATTGGTCAGTTGATGCTGTAGAACTATAGGGTGTTCTCTAGTGATAACTTCTTATTGAAATAAATGTATTGACTTGTCTCATCCACAAAAAGTTCGTTCACTGAATGACAATAAAGGGTTAAAATTATCCCCAAAGTTTTTAGCGTTCAGTCTGTGGGTTTGTTAAGAGTAGGTGAGTGTTGATATTGGAGTATAATTTTTCACTAAAGCTTTCATTTCAAAGCGCCCAAAGTTATCCACAGATCTCTTTAATGAACATGTCATTTCAGCGCAGCCCAATTTGCTACCTGAAAAACACAACGATAATTGAAGTTAGAGCTTGGAATGAAATCTCTAGTAAAAATGACACTGATATCTATCGCCCACTCAGTAAATCGACAGGAAATAAAAAAAAAGTTATAAACGAAACAGGCTCTGAACATTCAGAACTTTGCGAATAACCTCAGCCCAATCAGGAAAAAAAACGCCTAAACAATTGACCTAGACATCACAGCTGTATTTTTTCTTCTTTGCTACAATGAGATAGGGCACACTTGAAAATACAAATATACCATGAAATAACAAACAATGTAGTCTATCAATGTAACAATAAATGACGTGACTCACTTACCAAATCGATACTTAAACTCAGTTTTCAGCCACACCTTATTTATAAGTGAGTGCTAGAGTACTACTACCCAGCTGCTCATACTGAAGTAGGTGAAATGAGGCTTGAATCTACTACCTAGTGGTTAAAAGTCGAACGCCTTAATCACTAAATCCACCTCTCCACATATGAAATCATACTTAAAACCACTAAGTTTAGGATTGTAAATATCTGTCAATTTTTGGTCTATTATAATAACTACACATAACTTACCATTAATTAATAGCACATATGTTATACCCCGACAAGCATAATGAATGGTAACTGTTGGAATCCATTCATGGACCAAGACTAGACGTATATTTTTATCGTATAATTATTAAATAACTAAACTGTTCCTATTCATGTCCCTCTTATCATAAGCTTTATTTTGACCTATGAACTATTATTATACGATCTACCATTCTTGAATTATGCCCTGTCTATTAAACACTACCTCCCTCATTCACAGCCACGTTTGGCTAGATCTTGTACAAATGTGTACTTTCTATTTTGTGGTTTTAATGTGGTCCGTCTGGTTGGCATATAAACTCAGCATGTTTGAAATACATGATTCATATCGCATAGGCTGAGATTGGTGTTCTGGATTCAACGGGTAAGGTTAGGCAGAAAGAAAGTTCGATAAGGTCTCTAGACTGTTCGTGATTGTTTTATACGTTATTGGTTCGGTCGATAAGTCACTGTTCTCTAATTGGCGGTGTCATTACGTATACATTAGCAGGGCACTCAGGACACAAGTTATAACAGCATAAAGCTATTTTTCTTTCAAATTTTTACTTTTATTCATCTATTATACTTATATAGGTAAAAAGATTAGAGATTTCAATGTATCTTCACAAACTGGTCAATTATTGCGTTGTGCATCGTTACCAGTCGAGAACTATTCCTCTTTTCTCTTAACTGGTGGTATCAGTGGTATAATAAGTTTATGGGACTTGCGTATATCAGCATCCAAAGTACCTCAATTGAAATATTCCCATACAGAATTAAAAGCTTCAGTAAGTTATGATAATAAACTATCTTATAATTTTGTTTACTCTTTCCTAGACAAGTCTTACAAAGAACATCTTGAGTTTACAATTGATTGGTCACTACTCAGTGATCAACTCCGCCTGTAGCTCTCCTAGAGTTACTGCCGGTCCCAAGCCCGGATAAAGGAGGAGGGTTGGGCATGGGGTTAGCGTCCCCATCCCGTAGAAAACTGACTCGCTAAAAAAACGCCAACCAGAAAAAATAACTCAAACCATTTAAACTCTGCCCTGGGAGTTAGGAGGTCTTCATTTAGAAGAAATATGACGCCTCAGTGTAAAAGCCGAGTTCCTTCGGAAGCCATGAGGCCGATGCCCCTTCTAACAACCAGAGCAACAATTTTTATAGGTACATGGAACGTCCGGACAATGTGGGAGACCGGGAAGACCAGTCAAATAGCAACAGAAATGAGGAGATACAACTTGGCAGTACTGGGAATCAGTGAAACCCATTGGACCCAAGCTGGACAACAAAGGCTAAATACGGGAGAGATGCTGCTATACTCCGGTCACGAAGAGGAAAATGCTCCACACACTCAGGGAGTTGCTCTAATGCTGTCCAAAGTTGCACAAAATGCACTTGTAGGATGGGAATCTCACGGATCCAGAATCATCAAAGCATCATTCAAAACAAAGAAGGAGGGGATCACAATGAATATTATCCAGTGTTATGCACCCACCAATGATAGCAACGACGAAGTTAAAGATCAATTATATGAGAGGCTGCAATCAATCATAGAGAAGTGCCCAAGAAAGGACCTCACCATTCTGATGGGAGATCTAAACGCCAAAGTTGGAATGGACAACACCGGATATGAAGATATCATGGGACTGCATGGACTGGGAGAGAGGAACGAAAACGGAGAAAGATTTGTAAATCTGTGTGCATTCAACAAATTGGTCATAGGCGGCACAATATTTCCACACAAACGTATACACAAAGCTACATGGATCTCACCGGACCACTCCACAGAAAACCAGATAGATCATATTTGCATCAATAAAAAGTTCCGAAGGACAATGGAAGATGTGAGAACCAGGAGAGGAGCGGACATAGCTTCAGATTATCACCTGGTTGTAGCCAATTTAAAACTGAAGCTAAAGAAGAACTGGACAACTGGACAAACAGCTCTGCAAAGATTTAATACAGCCTTCCTTCGAGATACCGACAAACTCAATGAATTCAAGATAGCTCTCAACAACAGGTTCCAAGCCCTACAGGATCTACTGAAGGAAGAAGATACTACTATGGAGGATAACTGGAAAGGTATCAAAGAAGCATTAACTTCAACGTGTCAAGAGGTTCTGGGCCCCAAGTAGCATCATCACAAGGAATGGATTTCTATAGAAACACTGGACCGGATCAAAGAAAGGAAGAACAAGAAGACAGCAATTAACAATAGTCGAACAAGAGCAGAGAAAGTCCAAGCACAAGCTGAGTACATAGAGTCAAACAAGCAAGTGAAGAAAAGCATTAGAGCCGACAAGCACAAATACGTGGAAGAACTAGCAACGACGGCGGAGAAAGCTGCAAGAGGAGGAAATATGAAACAGCTTTATGATACAACGAAGAAACTAGCAGGGAGATACAGTAAACCAGAGAGACCAGTCAAAGACAAAGAAGGAAGACCAATCACTGAGATTCAACAACAGCAGAACAGATGGGCAGAGTATTTCGCGGAACTCCTGAATAGGCCGCCACCAATGAATCCACCGGACATCGAAGCAGCACACACAGATCTCCCCATAGATGTCAATCCACCAACGACAGAAGAAATCAGAATGGCCGTCAGACAAATCAAGAGCGGGAAAGCAGCAGGACCTGACAATATACCAGCTGAAGCACTGAAGTCAGACATCGAAGTAACTACGAACATGCTTCATCTTCTATTCAAGAAGATTCGGGAAGAAGAACAAGTGCCGATGGACTGGAAGGAAGGACACCTCATCAAGATTCCAAAGAAAGGAGACCTTAGCAAGTGTGAAAATTACAGAGGCATTACACTACTGTCAATACCAGGAAAAGTCTTTAACAGAGTGTTACTGAACAGGATGAAAGACGCAGTAGACGCTCAACTTCGAGATCAACAAGCTGGATTCCGTAAGGACCGGTCGTGCACAGACCAGATTGCGACACTACGGATCATCGTCGAACAATCAATTGAGTGGAACTCGTCACTCTACATCAACTTCATTGATTATGAGAAGGCATTTGACAGTGTAGATAGGAGGACGTTATGGAAACTTCTTCGACACTATGGAGTTCCTGAGAAGATTGTCAATATTATCCGGAACTCATACGACGGATTACAGTGCAAAGTAGTGCATGGAGGACAGCTGACAGACGCATTCCAAGTAAGAACCGGAGTAAGACAAGGCTGTCTACTCTCTCCCTTCCTGTTTCTTCTGGTGGTCGACTGGATTATGAAGACCTCGACATCTGAGGGAAACCACGGCATACGATGGACAGCTCAGAACCAATTAGACGACTTGGACTTCGCAGATGACCTAGCCCTCCTATCACATACACACGAACAAATGCAGACAACGACAGCCAACATAGCAGCAGTCTCTGCATCAGTAGGCCTCAAAATACACAAAGGGAAAACCAAGGTCCTCAAACACAACACGGAGAACAGCAGTCCAATCACTCTTGATGGCGAAACTCTGGAAGATGTGGAATCCTTCACATACCTGGGAAGCATCGTCGATAAACAAGGAGGTTCAGATGCAGACGTCAAGGCTAGGATTGGCAAAGCAAGGAAAGCATTCCTTCAATTAAAGAACATATGGAACTCAAAACAACTTTCAACCAACATCACAGTCAGAATCTTCAATACCAACGTCAAGGCAGTTCTACTGTACGGAGCTGAAACTTGGAGAACTACAACAACCATCATCAAGAAGGTACAAGTATTTATCAATAGCTGTCTATGCAAGATACTCAACATCCATTGGCCAGATACCATCAGCAACAGCCTTTTGTGGGAGAGAACCAACCAGCTTCCAGCGGAAGAAGAAATTAGGAAAAGACGATGGAAATGGATAGGACATACATTGAGGAAATCATCAAACTGCATTACGAGACAAGCGCTAACTTGGAATCCTGAAGGGAAGCGGAAAAGAGGAAGGCCAAAGAACACATTACGTCGGGAAATAGAAGCAGATATGAAAAAGATGAATAAGAACCGGAAAGAGCTTGAAAGGATTGCCCAGGACAGGGTTGGATGGAGAATGCTGGCGAGTGGCCTATGCTCCTTCACGAGGAGTAACAGGCGTAAGTAAAGTAAGTAAGTACTCAGTGATCAATCCATTTTAAATATGTTAGTGTTGCGGAAGGTTACTTGTGGTTCGAGGAACTCACTGGTAACTGCTAAGATTACGAAGATGAATCGAGTTTGACTTCCACAGGGAGAATCTGTTCCCCAAAGACTACATGTACACCTTACTGACGAGTACCAAAATAGCGCGAAACCTGATTCGACCCGACCTTTCTGCCAACTACCTCCAACCATCTAATATTTCAAGTCGTTGACCGGCACCATTCATTGGCAATACTTAATCTGATGCAGATTTGGATATCATGTTCTGAAACTACAATTCGAATAGTGTTTGCACCACAACAATTTTAGCACAGATCGTGTCAACGCTCATAATATATCTTCATCCTTTAGAGAATTCTCTTGGTTATACTGAAAAAATAACAAATTTATATCCTGAACGAAAGTTTTGTTTTATTTGAGTCTCGTCAGTTGGATATATCTGAATCCTAATGTTGATGTTCACTGCGAGATTCGAATGCACTACTTTTCGTTAATAAGATTCAAAATAGAAAGGAATTTGTTTCTGAACACCATTAATCTTTTCTTAAAATATTTGTTTATTATTATCATCAATATTGAGAAAATCCTCTCTGGATGCACATATGCCAAAATAGACTGATTGGAATTCAGTCCTTAATACCAACAACGGTAAAATATGTCTTAGTTAAATAAACTATTCGCTATCTGGACTTAGTAGTTCAGTGGATAAGGTGTTGAGAATCTGATATGAATGGTACTAGGCTGGGGTCTCAGATTGAAAATCAACAACGGATGTAGGCACATCCGGTTCACGTGTCCCATATGTGACGAAAACCATATCCTAACGACTATCTATCTTTACTCAAGATATCATGTATTTTTGTACACTTTTGAAAATAAATCTAGATGGAAGAATACTAATCAATATGGTCAAGTAAACGGAACGTAACTCTGAGATTTGAGAAGCAAATTTGTGAATATATTTTGGCAAAACGAATTTATTATATTGATTAACAACATTTTACAAAGACATGCATATAATCATGACTATATAGTCACTGATTTATATCCCCCTAGGCTAAACCAAATATACATCACAACTACTGAAGTTAGACATTAATACCGTTGGATGCCGAGTAAGTGATCTAGAATTTAAGCGTTCGCACATAAAACCTAAGGTCTTCGGTTTGATTCTCAAGTACGAAGTCGTAGATACGCACTCGTTAGTAGTCTCATACTGGGACAAAATGCTTTTTCATTGCTTCCACATTTTCAGTGGTGTCCTAATTTAAATTATCTCACTGTATCAATGATATCGAAATTCATATTTATAAGAAAAGACCGAATGTAGATCAAACTACATAACGTTTTTCAACAATCTCCAACCTACAACGACGATATATATGTAAAATGTAAAAATTATGATTGTTAGAAGTATGATTTTTCACATGTCGTAAACAACTTAGAACCTAACACATGTGCATCAACCCGAATCAGTACACCATCTAAAATCACGTGTCGAAGTAGGCGATGTCTGAGCATACGTAATATATGTTCCAATCATTTTGTTAGTGAAAATCTACTACTTCATCAACGGTAAAGCAAACTGAACGAGTACACAGTATAATCTTTCTTTGGCTACCTCCAATCACCATCTTATCTCAACATAGTGCACGCAGTGTCGAGTCACCTAGACTGGTGGTCACATTACAACTTGGTCGATAGCCTTCGATCTGAACTAAGAAGGACTTGACGGATATGACATTGATCACTACCCAGTGATCAATCAATTGTGATTACATCTCAGTCTTACAGGAGGTCGGTCGTGGCCCGGATAGCTCACTGGTAACGTCTCTGACTGTGGAGCTGAGTGGCACGGGATCGAATCCGTCAGGGAGAACCAGTCCCTTCAAAATTACAGCTACACCTTGCTGATGAGTGCCAAGTAGCACGATACCCGGGTCCAGGGTTTCCTGTCGACTACCTCTAACCACCATCGAAGCATGAAAAGTCCAATAGAAATCATTGAACTATGTTAGATGTCAATAAATAACAGTTGGAAATATTTGTCTATTTAATACAACAAACATGATCCCATTATAAGCTACATGGATCATGTAAAACGAATATCAAATTATATAAAATGTATCAAATATCATTGATCTCTTAAATTATTTCGTAAAATATTTAACGACCCTAGATCTGACTCTCATTGGATCGTATGTTGATCGTTATTGAAATATTACATCCTAATTATTCTCGTATATAATTATCAACTTAACTCGTGTCAGTGAATAACTGAGTTAAATAAGTCAAATATGAGAATGGATGCGTTGAATACATATATTTTGTATAATCATTGATCCAATCAGACGATCTAAGCAACGATGCAAAACAAAGTGATGTACGGTGGAGAAGGCGTGTGAGCCAACTCCATTTCATTAAGCGTGAATCAATATTTGTAGTCAGATATAAGTAAGTTACAATCATGTGATGAATGGGATAAGAAGTGTACACATGTATGTTCTCATATAACAACAGTCAACGTTGATAAGCGAATATTCAACAAGGTCAAAACTTTACCCATAAAGAATGAATAAATTGGCTTGTCTAGAAGTCAAAATACGATATGTGGGTTGAACATAGTAACCAACACTACAAATTACAATCAAACTTGTTTATTGAGTTATTCATTGTTCTTTTTTTTTTGTGTTTTAACTATACAAAATAAAAAATCAATAATTCATTTATTTTAGATCGCTGATTTACTTTGGCTTAATGAAAATCAATTCAGTTCATGTTCAGATACTGTTGATCGAAATAATTGTGAACATAATATTGCTGTATGGGATATACGATTTACTAAACCAATATCACATCAATTATATCAAGTAAGTAATCAAATGATTAAAAATGAAAGAAAAAACAAACATTTTAAGTGGGAGGACGGATTGCGAATTCATCAGTCAATCTAAGCTAGACAACCATTGAAAACATGGAAGCACTGAATGGTTGTTTCGTCCCAGTATGAGACTCCTCAGCATTGCGCATCCATGATCCCTCATGCGGTAGGACATGCTGAGAAGTCCCATAGTAGGACGAAACGATCGTCCAATGCTTTCAAGTTTTCAATGGTGGTCTAGCTTAGATCGCTTCATGAATTCAACTATTACAATCTATCTAATCTCTAGTTCCCACTGTAGAATTAACAAGATATATTTCTGTTTACAACACTTACTAACTCATATGTATTAGCAATGCCTAACTTACTAGTAGGCTAAAGACTAATAAAATGTTTCATCTTTATTATTTTTTTTCTTCGGAAAAATTCTATTACATATTAGGAACGTTGGGGTTGTAATCGATTAGCTTTAAAGCCAAAATTTCATTCTAATCAAAATATTCGTTTTGCTATACAAACTCAAGGGGATGCAATTGTAGAAATCTATTGTAAAACAATGAAAAATTCTACATCATCAAATCGATTAAGTTATCATTTAGAGAAACGTTGGCGTTATGAAGGTCATCAGGTTTGTTTATTATTGTATACTTTATTAGAAGATTTTAATTGTATGATAATTCAATGTATTTTTAAAGTTAATAGTTTACATAAATTTAATTTCAATAGTTGAGATTATGAGTTATTTGAAGGTAGACCACCATGGAAAACCTGGAAGCATTGGATGGCCGTTTCATCCTACTGTGAAGTCCTAGTTGAAGTTAGACGTTAACACCGTTGGATACTGGCTCAGTGGTCTAATGGTTGAGCGTTCGCGCGCGAGACTGATGAGTCATGGGTTAGAATCTCGCAAGGTGGAATCGTGGATGTACACTGCTGAGGAGTCCTACGGTAGGATGAAACAGCTGTCCACCGCTTTTGGACTTTCAGTAGTAGTCTAGCTTAGATCGACTTATGATCTCAACTATTAAAATTACTATAATATCCACAAAACCCCTTCTAATGTTTACATATTTATTGGCAAGCAGTCGTTGATCTGTTCTATGTAGAATAGCAAGTGGAAAAAAACGTTTGTATTTCTAGTTTACACTAATGGGAAACTGTATTGCTTATGATGAACAATGAACGATTCACTTGCTCTATACTAGATACCAAGCCAGAACTATTCTACTAAGTATCAAAACAATCCAAATGAAAAATATGTGACTCAGCTGGCTAATAAGTGTATTCTTTAAAAATTAACAACTGACTATCAAATAAGTACAAAGGTATCATAGTATCTTTGATACATTGCATTCCTGTCAGACTGTCTACCAGGTATGTTTCAGGAAAACAACCAGTCACTATTTTCTCTCTCCTACACAACAATAAATTATCAAAACAACCTTTTGCATTCATTTCATGTTTTTATCAACAATTTTTTATAAGCGCTTAATTGACTCCAATTGTTCTAAATCCTAGTTGGTTCCATACATTTCTTAGACTAATCCTTTTATATAATTGACTAATCTTGACAATGCAATATTAAAAGTCTAATATGAAATGTTCTAACAATCGATTTATTTAAGACAGACCCGGTATACAACGTCACAAAATATGTTAGAAGTATGTGTGTTGAACTGTATGCTGAATAGAGTAGTAATCTAGTGATCAAGCGTTAAGTGAGTATACGTAGTCGAAGAACTTATTGAAATACGGTTTATAAACATGAAAACAGTCACATGTATATAAAGACTCTACATACATTAATCATATGAATAAGTACAAGAAAACTAATAGGATTAAATGACGCATTTGACAGTCACATAATTGTCTTGCTTTATACCTGTTTAAACCAGGATAGGCTTGATTAGGCGTATACACTCTGTTACTTATTTAAATAAACCTGTTACCTCTCGTGGAGGCGCACAGACTACACAACAGCATTCTCCATCTAACTTTGTCCTGGAAAATCCTTTCCAGTTGCTATTCATTCTTTTCATGTCTGCTTCCGATTCCTGACGTAGTGTGTTCTTTAGCCTTCATCTTTTCTGTTTCCCTTCAGGATGACAAGCTAGGGCTTACCTCGTGATGCAGTTTGATAGTTTCTGTAATGTATATCCTATCCACTTCCAACGTCTTTTCCTAATTTCCTCCTTAGCTTGAAGCTGGTTTGTCCGTTCTCACAGTAGACTGTTGTTGATGGTATCCGGCCAACGGATATTGAGTATCTTGCGTAGACAACTATTTATAAATACTTGTACTTTTTAGATGATGGTTGTAGTAGTTCTCCACGTCTCATCTCCGTACAGTAGCACTGTCTTGACGCTCGTATTGGAGATTTTGACTTTAATGTTGGTTGACATATATGTTCTTCAACTGTAGGAATGTGGCCCTTGCTTTGCCAATCCTCTCCTTTACGTCTGCATCGGATCCTCCTTGTTTATCGATGATGCTTCTCAAGTATGTGAAGTATTCCACATCTTCCAGAGCTTCTCCATCAAGTGTGATTGGGTTGGTATTCTCTGTGTTGTATTTGAGGATTTTACTTTTTCTTTTGTGTACGTTGAGGCCTACTGATGCAGAGGCTGCTGCTACATTAGTTGCCTTCACCTGCATTTCTTCGTGTGTATGGGATAGAAGGGCCAGGTCATCTGCGAAGTCCAAATCTTTTAATTGATTCCGAGCTGTTCATTGTATTGTGTGCTTTCCCTCAGATTTCTAGGTCTTCATAATCCAGTTGACCACCAGAAGAAAGAGAAAGGGGGAGAGTAATCAGCCTTGTCTGACTCCGCTCCTCACCTGGGATGCATCTGTCAGCTATCCTCCATGCATGACTTTGCAGTCTGGTCCGTCGTATGTTGATGACCTTCTCAGGTACATCGTTGTGTCGAAGAAGTTTCCATAAGGTCTTCCTATCTACACTGTCTAACCCCTTCTCATAGTCAATGAAGTTGATGTATAGTGACGAGTTCCATTCAATTGATCGCTCAACGATGTTCCGTAGTGTCGCGATTTTCCTGTGCACGACCGATCGTTACGGAATCCAGCTTGTTGATCTCGAAGTTGGGCGTTTACTGAATCGTTCATCTGGTTCATCAAACTGTCGAAAACTTTTCCTGTTACTGACAGTTGTGTGATGCCTCTGTAGTTCTCACATTTGCTCAGATCTTTGAGGTGGTTGAGAAGATTTGTAGCTCAGTTAGATGATTTTGATGGAGTTTTGTTCCGTGAGCTGGATGATTTGGTCGTGGAGCTTTCATCGTTCTTCTGAACGATATCATCAGCACAAATGTCAGGTAGAAGTGAAGTTTAAGCTGATCATGTCGTTCAGAAGAATTATGAAAGCTCCACGACCAAACCATCAAACTCAGAGAACACAACTCCATCAGATGTCTTTTCTTTGGCATTTTGATGAGATATTCGTCTTTCCAGTCTGTCAGTGGCACTTGTTCTTCCTCCCAAATCTTCCTAAATAGAACGTAATAAACATTGATTTATCATCTTATTAAAAGGGTTTTATCTAATGAAGGTAATTATATTCAATTCGATTGGTTAAACTAACTAATATTGATTGTTTTCTGTAGACTAGAATGGTGTCATTATTTCAATGTGACTTATATAATACAAATTAATGCAGTACATTTCGAATAATAATCAGATTATAGAGATTTATATGAAAACAATGAAAATCACACCATTATGCATAATAAAACAATATTGTCAAAGATGTGTATTTAGTGTTAGTATAATTTGTGCTACTTATATCGACATAAGTAGTATATAATGCTAGTCAGGAATAGAATATCTAGCAACAGAAGGTCGAGAAGATCTAAGAGGAAAGAACGGGAATAGAAAGCAATTGATATTTGAATGCGGGAACAATGAAGTCTGAGACAATTAACGTCTATTTATTTATTTGTTTATTTAAACAAATAAATATTGGTACAAAGGGGCATCGAATACACATACACCACAAAAAGTCACTTGATTTGTTTGTGGTCTGTGATACTGCTCGAGTACCCTGACCGAAGTAGGTAGTCTTCTTAGGGGCCACACCCAGAGCCTTCGACTTAAAGGTCTGATCCACAAGGCAGTGGAGTAACGTAAAGAGATGCAGTCCCATGGGAGCCAGTGACCAAAAATAGGTTCGTACATCATTTGTTCAATCAGGATCCTGGAGCCCATGTGCACCATTGATTTTTGAATCAGGGTTTTCCAACTACCCTAGGTGAACTCTCCGTGTCTACCGACCTGGTTAAAACCTCTGTTGGACATTTTATTTTCGTCTACTCAATTTCGTAAACAATATCCGTGGTGCGATAGCGGAGTGAGTAGGACTTCCCTATATGCTCTCGTTCATTACATAAGTACCAATTGTTTTTGAATACCAAAGTGGAGTTTGGACTTTCTTATGACTAAAGAATCGACCCATTTCAATATTTTTCTTAAACAACTTTTGTACAAAAACAAAATGCCTCTTTGTACCAATATTTATGTGCACCAATAAATCCTTCAGAAAGTTAACTCATATATTGACTGACCATCAATGTATGATATACAGAAAAGTGAAAATAAGATCACCATATGACTAGAAAATATCGCATTTGACAAGTTGTTTATTACTATTCATGAACAGCTCACGACTGTTCTATGATTTTTCTCTGTTTATTTTCAGAACAGTTTAGTTTGTCATTTGAACGTAAATTTTCTATCCAATAAATCCCATCCCTTTATTTCATATTATAGTATAACTTTGCTTGGATAAAATGTTCGTTGGTCTTCATATTTAAAGTGTTTTAATCCATTAAAATTCTTACAGATTCAAGCCCATCCTCTTGGTCTAGCTTATAATCCATCTGGCAATCTATTAGCTAGTGGTTCATGGTCATCTTCTGGTCCAGTTATATGGTCTACTGTTCACAAGATTGATTCATCTTATATTTCAATGACACCAATGAAAAAGCTACCAGGATTTCGAAGCTCACCAAAATCTATGGTAACTGATGTCACTTGGATACCAAACCAGTATGTTTCAAACGGACGTGACAGTATAATAGCTGTTCAATCAAATGGGACTATTATTGTATATAGCTCATTATGAGCAAAATGTTTGTAGATAGAATGTGTAAATACATATGCAAATTTTGTAAAATTCTTTCAGTTGGTTTTTTTTCCCGGGAATCTGTAAATCAAGAGTACAACATTCAGTAACCGAATTGTAAGTTCGAATCCCTCTTCACTTAATTTCATCCTTGTATCCAAACAATATTATTTGCTCTCAGACAATAAATACTTTCTAACTGTAGTACAAAAGACTATACCTATTTCATGAATTCAACTACCGGAAGTCGTCATATCTACACAGGTGACTGACGTTGATTTCTAGGACTAATTTTTTTTAGTATAGAATATTATAGGGTATGATATGATATGTAGTAGTGAAATTAACCCGTGATTAGCCTCTGTACATGAACAGCATACTGACTATTCAATATGTGATTTCCTTTCCTCTTATTGGTTTCTACTACGAACTCACTAAGAGTGACTACTTGTAATTGTGTGGAATAAAGTATTGTCTAGAGTAACTCTGATTCTTTAATTTTGGTCATGATTCGTGTATCTGATATAACTTGGTCTAGTTTCTGTAATGTGTACCGTTCGTGTATCTCATTAAGCGGTATTGCAAACTTGGTCGTCCAGCTTTTCACTGTATTATTGTAGTAGCGTAATATGCCTCAAAGGAAAAACATTTTAATTCGTCCGTTATATCACAGGGTAAATCAAGCATCATCAGGAAACTATGGTGTAACCGTGATGTAGCAGTTAAATGTGGGCGGCTAATCTTAAGCGTCAACCGATATGACCTACCATTAGGTTGAAAACTGTCAACGTTCATCTCTTAATAACTTGACCATACCACATAGTAACTTTGTAAAAATATATAGGGGTATAAATTTCGATCTGTGAACCAAATTACGCCATCAGGTGACTGGAAGCACATTCTGTATGTTGTAGTGTCGGTTACTATGTTAAGCCTATATAACTTAATTCTAACTTCTGGACAGGCCAATTTATGCATTCTTCTTGAGTCACATTTTGACCTTGTTGAATATTCGCTTATCAACGTTGACTGTTCTTATATGAGTGCATACATGTATACACTTCTTATCCCATTCATCACATGTTTGTAATTTATTTTTATCTCACTGTAAATATTGATTCACGCTTAATTAAATAGAGTTGGCTCACACTCATTCTCCACCGTACATCACTTTGTTTCGCATCGTTGCTTAGATCGTCAGCTTGGATCAATGATTATACAAAATATATGTATTCAACGTATCCATTCTCATAGTTGACTTATTTAATTCCGTCAATCACTAACACGAGTTAAGTCGATAAGTATATACGAGGATAGCCAGGATGTATATTTGGACAACAATCATTCATATGATATAACTGGAGTCAGATATCGGGTCATTAAAATCAAAGTGCTTCCAAAGTCACTTCTAACACTGTCAAAGTTAGCTCTACGATCATTTCTATATGAAATTAGATCATCTGGACGTTGAATTTTGGAGACTCTGAGAAAGATAACGGAATACTTATTAGATTTAGCTAAATCCATTGTGAAATGATTCGAAGCATTTAAATTGTAATAACCACAATTGATACAAACAAGGGGTGAGTAAGTTGTCAGTTAGTTCATTGATCATTAGTGTTATATGCCACAAAATTTATCAAATAACTGAATCCATTAGAATTATCGAATGGATGACAGATTTTAAGGGTAATATAGATCAATATCAGTAGAATATGAACAATCCTTATACCTTCCGAAGATAAACAGTTAGGGGTTTTTAATGTATCCTACAAACAGCATGTAAACACATTTTGTTTGCCGATACTTAACTGCCTTCAGAATTCAGGTCATGAGGAGGCCTAGATGAGCAAGAAGGTTTTTAATTACAAGCAAGATGTAGCAGTTAACTGGGTTGTGAGGATCGTTTTATATTGTTTTATTGAAGGTCATCTTCATAACTTATTTCTTATTCCTACACTGTCCCAACAAATTGAATAATCTATTTATTATAATTTGGACAATATAAGTGTGTTTAGTGGCCATTCATCTGACTTCAATTAGATCGTTTGTTGATTGTTATTTAAGGATACATTCCAGCTTCCCTTGTATATAGTTATCAACTTAATTCACAATAATAAATAACAAAATTCAATAAGCGAAATACGAAGATAGATTTTGAATACTTGTATTTCATGCACTCATTGATTTGAACAGGCAATCAGGGAGACGACACGAAAAAGGGAGAGCGAAGCGAATTATACAAGTCAAGTGAGCCAACCCTATATAATCAAGTGTGACTCGATATTTATGGCTAAGCAAAAATACTTTACAGACACGTAATAAGTAGGGTAAGTAATTACACTCATACTATCACATAAAAGCAGTCAAGGCTAATAAGCCAATAAGTGATAAGCTCAAAACGTGATTTGAGAAGAATGGATAGATTGGTCTGTCCAGAAACTTGAAAAAATATGTGTGCATTAGTATATGTGTGATCACAAAATTTGAATGGAAGGTCAAAGGTCATCTTTTCTAAACGACAAATTTACAAGCGATAGTGGTAATTGTACGAATTGTGAGAGTTGATGGAAAAATGCAAATAGCAAAATAAAATTAGTTACAAAATACGTCTACTTTAATTATCCCCCACATGTGAGAACGAAAATAGGAAGCAACATTACCACTTCAAATTTCCTGGCTTCTTAGTAGATCTCTCTTTTTTCTTCTTTCTAAGGAGCTAAAGGATTTCTGTGTATTTTCGGATAATTATATGTTTGGTTAATCACTTTTTCGTGACTATAGTGACCCGAGATCTGACTCACACTTGAATGGATAAATGGATATGCAATGAGTATCAATATTTTGTTTAATTCCTTGTACTACACCCAGGCTAACCACATTCAAGCGACAGCAGCAACAAGAAGCCGATACAGATTACGTACGGTAAATTTATTTCAGATATTCGTTTACTTAGACAGAAATTAAAAATGAGCAGCGGTAAAGAAAAGCGGAGGGGGCGAGTTTTTCGACTTATCCTGATAAAACAAGACTGATTATTTGCTTTCAGGCCAAAATCAGCTAAAGACAAGTGATAAGTAGAGTAAACGATACACACACATACGCTCAAATATGACCAGTCAATGTTATGAGCAAATAATTTGCAAGATCAAAATGTGACTTAAGAACAAGGAATTAACTGATCTATTCGAAAGCTAGGATAAATCATGTGTGTAGTAGTACTAGACTTTGCAGTGACAACGAGTCAAAAAATCTGTGAGATTTATTGGTACCTTCACTGAGTTTTACGTTACTTAGGAATATTACTCTAAGTGCCTTTCGTTGAACATCAATATTATTTCGTTTTTGAAGATAATGGAGTCTTCTCTTCTTTATGAGAACCATCTCTAACATACCAAATACGGAAGGCGAAGACTGTCAGATCTGTGCACCTACTTAACAAGGTTTGAACTGATAAAATCTGACATAATTTGGCAGATTGTTTGTCAATGGCTGCAAATTTACGACTTCATAACCTCTAAAACGTCAACTATTTATTGCTCTGTTAGTTGAACAATAAAGCAGCAGAATCTCTGGTTACCATCAACACACTAAAGTTAAACTGGTTTGTAGTAGGTTCGTTTTCTTTGAACTAGTGCTCTATTCCTAGTTTCTGTGACAATAAAGTCATTTCTACTTTATCTGCTGTAGTAGCAATGAAATTCATCGTGGACCTTCTACAAGTACTAATGTTCAATCTTAGATTTCTACCTGTCTCTAGAGGTTTCCCCAATGTCTTTGACTAATGCTCGTGGAACTCGGTTTGGATCCCTCTGTAGTTACTGTCGAGTCCAAGCATAGGTGAAGGAAAAGGGTGGGAAGTGGGGTTAACAACTTTTCCAGCAAAAAACACCCTCTGTTGAGACTTCAACTAGGGAAACCATTTGATGTATTTGAACTTTATCCTTTGGATTTAAAGTGTCTTTATATAAGACAGTTAGGTTTGCTAATTGAGAAATCTGATGATTATTTTGTGCCGGCGGACGCTTGAACTACTCGAGCTGTCCACTTTCACTCAGGCATCCTGTGATCTGACCCAGTCATTACTTCGTAACAAAGTTATTAATTCAACACCACCAGCACTTAGAAGGCAACACCAGCGCTTCATAAGTGTTAGCTGCCATACTTAAGTGTTATGGAATCGTTAGGTGGACCAGAGCAGTTCGATGGGCGATAAGTAAATGCGTGGGTTGTATGCGTACGAAATTCACACTGGACCAACAGATGATGGCACCACCTCCTAACTGTTGCGTAGAGCAAGTACGGTTCTGTTTTTCCTTCTTGTGAACTGACTGTTTTGGGCCACCGATGGTTCTCTAAAAGAAAAGTGGAAAAAAGAAGTTTTGGTGAGTGTTTTGTGTCCACAAGAGCGTGCAGTGCAACTACAGGTAGCATTCGGCTTGTGTACGGACGCTTTCATAATAGCTTTAATACGTTTCAGGGAAAAGAGAGAAAATCCAAAGGAAATCCTAAGTGATGGCGGAAATATCTTCGTCGGGTCGACTTCTGAACCTAGAAATATTATGTGAGTATGAAAAGAGCCCGGAATAAATGATTTTACAACATCAAACAGGATAGATTGCCATTGCAACACTCCACTAGCCAGATATTGAGGCAAGGTCTGGGAGAGGTTGATACACTCTACTCGGAGAAATATGCTGTTCATTTCTAATGAACGAGTCTCAAACAGCGGTAGCTTAGTAACCTCCTTTGTGAAAGAAGATGGGAGTTTAAGCAATCCCTCCCCATCACTTCTTTGACACCGGCTCAAAGTCTAAGGGAAAAACGGATCTCTCGACAACCTTTTAATCTTGACTGGTTTCTTCTTTAGACACCCAAGGCGATTATCCCACGAAGTACAATATAAACTACTTAATATCACCTCGCGACGGCAACACATGAGTTTTGTTATCACTGCTTTGACCTTAGTGGCAGACTATCCTAGAATGAGAACCACAAACTATGGCCTAATGAATAAGAGAGTAGATGAATGTTTTGGTGGAGTTATTGCGTACTGC